TAGTGGTCTTTACGTGCCTTTAATTTCTTCAACACTTTAAAGGGAAAATACAACATTTGCAAACATCAAAAAATAAAACTACCAAATCATTCTGAAATACCTTGCTGGACTGTTAGTGAATGACAGTGTAAAGCATCCTGTAAAATCATGGTACCTGGTATACTGTCATTTTCAAGAAAAGTGGTATTTTTGTATCAATTTCCAACGCTGGTCGGCCGACCAGCGTTGGAAAAAAACTGGCTTTTTTTCCAAATACTGGCCCAAATTGACCGTCGCACTTGTTTGCAATCGATTACACACCTATGAAGGGGTACAAGCCAGCTAGACTGGATCCCTGACCTTACAATTCCCCAATGTATGTAAACTGCTCTGTTTCTTCTTATATGGAGTCAGGGAACCAGACTACAGGAAAATGATTGTTTTTCTTGGTTTTTATAGCATTTTCGAACCCAAAACCTCAAAAAAGTCAGTGTAACTATATTTGCTATATATTTCCAACCCCTCAATTCCATCCATTTCTGAAAATTACAGCAAAAGCAAATGATGTATATTCCCTATAAAGGACAGAGAAGTGATGACATGTACATCCTAAAAGAAAAAATCAAATGAAAAATCAACAATAAAAGATTGTAACTGGAAAAGATAGGTGATTTATCCAGAAGGAAAGAGAAATACAACCTCATTTGATACCAGACTCAAACATCATGAAAGTTAACAGAAATTCCCTAACTGTACAGTCCAATCATATCAGTGCACAAAAAGGTGTACATTCACATGAAATGGATTCGTCCAAGTTCCTCTGCTGTGCAATATATCTTCCTTTATTCCCAAACCTTTCAGCAAGGATTTATTGCTGCATTAAAAGATATCTGATTATTGTTTACAAGTACTTTGACAAGGTTTGAAATGTGCGTTTGAAATCTCACTAATACATGAACTTGTACTTGAGAACTTTTTTTTCTCACTGTCATGCAGGTTTATGCTAAAGCGATTGATATGAACATAATGTATCAGTACATGTACATGTACTGTACCATGATAACAACCAAATAGCAAGTATTTGTCATGTGTAGTTATTCAAACACAACAGTTTTTTTTTTCAATACTCATTCTTCTTCCTCTTGTTAAAAAGTACTTGACTATTAGTTCCTATTTTGAGTACATACACGTAATTCTTCAAGAGCTGAGATGAAAAATCACTTTATCTACGCATGTCGACTAAAGTAAATTAAACATGATGTTATGTGGGTGTATATAAAAGCACTTCACACAATGTTATACATGTATGTACCATAGTGCAACGTACATATGCGATGCAAATCTTTTGTTGGCACTCCGTTTTTTCCTAGTGTGAGTGCATTAATTTAAATGTCAATGTATGATGATTATCTGCTCACATCCCTGGAAACTTGAAAGAGCAGTCACGTCTGTAGGCAGGGCACCATGCACAAATGATCGAGCCATGCTGCCTCAATGCCATAATGCATTATACAAATACATGCAATGGTTAGAAAAGCAATACTGTCTACAGATCTAAAGGCCTGTTAATTTTCACGAAGCTTGGATAAATATCTTCTGATTTCCTGATTGAATCCAACAATTAAAGATCCAAACATTGCTGAATGTTGTTGATCTTCAAAACACAATGTTTGCTTTATCTGTTGGATTCTGCAAGTCAAATAAGATTTGAAGGTTTGCAATGTTTGGGACAGTATACTGTGACCGTTGTCAGGAGATGGGCAGAGTATACCGTCCGAAACGAGGAGTTATGGTCAACCTTTTTCTTATTGGATTATCTAAGCTTTGGCAGGTTATAGCGTTATACACCCATAGAATATTCATATTGGGTAGTAGAACTCCCATAGGATACACAAACAAAACCCAAACTACATGTCTCCCCCCCCCAAGAAAATGGTTAGATAAGAAGATACCGGTAGAAAACCTATGTAACCAACATGTAAAAGAGGCAATAGGAAGTAGGATATTTTATTCATAAGTCTGAAATGGAATTATGTAATACACCTGAACAATTGTTGACAGAGTATACATGTAACCACATTCAGACGTTAATTTGAAGATACATGTAGCCAATCAAAATCTGTATATCTGGTACATTCTCAGTGAAGTTAGCTGCAAAATAGGCTGATTGTCTTACCGGTACATGTACCGGTATGCCCTATTTCTTCCCATAAAATAAATAGGCAATTTTGCCTGATTTAATTGGAAAATTCTTATCTAAAAGCTCAGCTCATACAAAGCCTGTTTAAAAGAAAAACAATCTAAAAGCAGATTCCAGATTAGGCCAAAACTATGTACACATGTACAGCTCTCCTATTGGCGAAGTGCATGTTTTTGTTTAATTGTCTCTGTTTGTCTATGTTGGCCTGTCTGGTTGTCTGTCAGTCAATCAATGATGACATTATCAAATTTGCTGCATGGCAGCTGAGAACACCTGGTCATTACTGGAGGGCACATACAGGTCCCCCCCCTCCCTCGAAATAATGAAGCGGCTCTAGCTGTTCACTGGATGTCACAAGACGGCACGGTCAAATCCAAGCACTTAACACGCGCCAATTTGATTACAGCGACATGCTCTTGGGCCTTGGGGCTAAATGTGACATTTGCAGCACATTCGTGGGGTTTCAAGATTGACTTACATGATAACAGGAAGGGGAAGAGGGAGGGGAGTTTCTGAAAAGCATTCTTACAAAAAAAATGAGAGGAATGAATTTTTGCACAAGATTTTAAAATGTTGCCAGAAAATTTGTAAGACCTGGGTAAGCCAACTTTGAAACAACAGAACAGTAGTTTTGAATTAATCGCATGGAAATCTGGAAAGTAGATTATTATCACTATGGCACGACGTAGCCAGGAATTCCATGGAAAAACAAACATTTTGAAAAAAGTGATAACTTTTCATGAATTCAAAAGTCATACATTTCATCTCTGAGTATGGGGGTGGATGAAATAGCTACCCAAATTAAGGTTATGCGGAGATGTTAGGCAACAAAAAAGGGGGAAAAAAGAAAGAAAGAAAAAAAGAAACAACCTGTGATGACCCTTTGGTATTATGTGCTGGTGTCTTCCTATGTCCTAAGCACAAAACCATACAATGCTATTAAAGGCCAGTGATGTGACTGGTAGGGCAGCCCCAAACAGTTAACAAGACCATTTGAACCATCCTTTACTAACTTGTGTTTCTGAAAGTTAGTCAAAATCTTGTTGGCCACTGTGAGGACTAATGTTTATCTGCGCACTGAAGAGTGCTCTCACACACACACACACACACGGCTGTACTTGGTACATGGTATGAGAACAAAGAGCAACAATAGGGTCAATGGTACACCACAACTTAGTCTTCAGAAATCTTGGTACCCCACAGCAGAAAAGCCATAGCGTTAGGGATTTCAATAGAAACAAAGGAGAACAATAGTAAGGAAATTAAGGTGGACAATAGTGATGGTACCCCATGCCGTGAACCCAATATGCAGAGGTGCATGCCTTTGCACGTGTGCCCAGAATTTAAAAGTTGTTCTCGTTATCCTGTCGGTTCGTCAATGCTTCAAAATTACCTGTTTTTGTTCCGACTCGGTGATACGGCTTTATGCTACAAAGTCCCAACAAAGTCATAAGTCAAATGGTAATATTGTTACTTTGATTGTATATAGTCGTGTTCCTTAACGTGGCGCACTTCGAAGCTTACCCAACTTTCCTCGTGTAGTGTTGCCAAACCTCTTTGTTGACAAACCTCAAATTCATGCAGTAAAATACTAGTACTTTGACCTTATTAATGCATGCTATTTAACCTCTGTGAACTATTTCGGTGTCATAAAGTTTAATCCGAAATTCAAAAACGGTGGCGTCCGGAAATTGGGCACAAATTCGCGGAGCGTTCCCTAACATGGCGCACTTAAATAAATCTCAGAAAATTCCAAATTAACATTAAGAATTTCTGTTAACTTGATAAATTCTGATAAATCATTATTATCTCTACTTACATACCCAGCCAGATGTTTTTCAGAAAATTATTTTCTTATTTTTCGGTGCATTTTCTAAGTGTTCACTTTGCACTTGAAAATAAAATCGGAAAATCACGCCAAAATATTTTTTTCTTCTAACTTTGTAACGGGTGAATAAAATCACGATTTATGAACGGGAGTATTTAGAACTTGATGAAATGTCACTTTCTGTGAAATTTCAGTTAAAACTTTTGCTCTAGCTAGGCGCTACAGGCAAAAAATCAAAGTGCGCCACGTTGGGGGCCGCGCCACGTTAGGGTACATCAACAATATATTTATGAATTATAATGTGATTAACTGATTATAATCAGAATTTATTGTAATGGCTTGTATTGTTAACAGATTCAAGAAGTCAATACAGTTCAGACCGTCCTGTTTGATTATGGAGTTTGAGGCAACCAGCAGAAGCATAACCGCCATCAGTGGTGAAAACTTCTACGACCGTTATTCATCGATTGAACTTGTGCATGCCAAAGTGGACGCCTGGCTGATGATAACTCTAATGCAGTGTAGAGCCCAGAGCACACATTCACTTCACCCAAATTGTCAGTGGAAAATTTTCAGAAAAAAAATCCTTTTGACGCAGCGTTTATTTTATGGATGTAATTCACAGACATTACAGGTGCTCACAGAAAATAGGTAAAAGCACGGAATAGTTACAGAAGACAAATTGTTTTGTGACGGCTACACGTTGTTTCCAATTCAAGAGCCTTGAAAAGTGATGTTTTATCTGGCATGCAACTGGGCACTTAGGAAAAAAACGAGGAAATTCCAAACCACCTAAGACTTTGTACAGTGTTTTTCAATGTGTAATGGTCTTCATGATAAGTACAAAATGAGGAAATCAGCGGATCCGAGGAAAAGTTGCATGCCTGTTTTATACGGGTAAGTGATAATTTGGTCATTCAAATGATAGCAAATGATTTCCTGGCCCATTGACCTTTACTTGACCTTTGACCTCTCCTTGACCTTTGAACTTACCCAGCCTGAGCACAGAGAAGAACAGGACGGACAGCTGCAGCAGCATGCCAGCAATCACCACAAAGTTGATGGCAGTGTCGTGGATGTCCTTATCGATGCGAGACGGGGAGTAGGCAAAGTAGATGTTGTAACGATCCACCATGTGCTTGAACAGGAGGTACAAGAGACCTGCAATTTAAAAAAAAAACAACAACAAAATGATTCAAAAGTTTTTTTATGAGAACAAGTTTTGATAAAAATTATGACTACATGTACATGTATGCCTGTGGACTGGGCTCCATACAAAAAAAGCCATCTTGTGCCCTTACCAGTGCATATCCATTTTTGTGCATTCTTGACATGAGAATGCAGTCATGTCCATGTATAAACACAATTGTTCACACAAAACTCTTTGTAACGTTCGTCTTACTCTTGTTCAGCGCACTGGGACTGTGTGTAAAATGCGCTTTGTAACTACCATTTCCGCCCCCTCCCGAAAAAATGGAAAAACTCTTCCTTAACATCAGTGCATCAGTTACTGCTGGACTTCATATTTGCTTTTAAGTTTGTGTACATTCCAATGCCAGTAGCATTGCAATGGTCATGCTGATACATGTACAAAACAACGGCAATCAGTACGATGGCTAAAAGATCTGCACACTAATGAGATATATTGCATCATTTGAGAACAGGTATTTGAAAATCTGGAACGGAAAATCAGTTCTCCTCCGCACAAGGGAAAGATTGCTTTTTAATTTCATTCCTAGTCTTTGATGATCGAGTTACATGTGCATTGTGTATCATGTACAATGTAGGCTGTTTGACTGTTGAGTAGGATCAGTGATGACAAGACTGAAGACAGTGCAGGAGTTTTCATGCAGCTAGGAAAGTAAGCCGGCATGTGGCAAGCTTGCAGGCTATCACGCAAGCTTGCAGGCCATCACGCAAGCTTACTGCAAGCTTGCAAGCAATCACGCAAGCTTGCCGGCTATCACACAAGCTTACAACGAGCTTGTATTTTGCTTGCAGAATTAGTCGCAAACTTATTTTGGCTTGTCGCGAGCTGGATGAGACTGTGGCAAGCTCCCTGCAAGCTTGCCGCAAGCTTGCCGCAAGCTAAATTTTCTGTAAGGGAATTTTCACACAATCCCAGCCAGGTTGATGAAGTGTAAAGGGCAATTCCAGCATTATGAAAGACAATGTAATCTCTGTTACACAGCCAATTAACCATAATATATTTCTAATTCATAAATACCTAAGACAGTTTACCCATTCCTATTGGTCGAGAGCCCATCACGTGGCCGGTCTTAAACGGATGATAACGACATGGCTAGCTGGTCTTAAACACTTTTCCAGTGTCACATGAAATTTGGACTCCTAAAAATCCAGTGCCTCTTACCGTTTTATTGGTTGAACGTTCATAATACTCACGTAGGCATGCGCAATACTACCAGTGAGTCAGTATTTTATAGTCCTAAATTCTCAACGCAACGCCCCAGGTGCATTCTGCGCAAATAGTACGTGCGACGCGCACGTCAATCTCCTTATAAGGTAAGGAATTGTAGAGGGACATTCCACATTATAGCCAGAGGGGTGTTTGATACAACATGAAGTAAAATTGTTAAGCAAAATAGTTAGAAATGTCTAGTTTTTGACTTGTTTTGATTTTTTGACCGAAAAGGTATTTATGAATGGGAATAAATGTGTCTTCGGTCGGTATTAAACACTCTGTTTAAGACCGGTGGGAGTCTGGATGGGCGATAATTACCCGAGGCGAAGTATCACCCATCCAGACTCCCACCGGTCTTAAACAGATTGTTATAATACCTCCCGAACACACATTTATTCCCTTATTAACCCTCCTATGCAAACATACATTCTGTGCCAAGTCCTTGCTGTCAAAATAAATCAAGTGAATTAATGTTTCAACTGTTAAGAGCTCCCAGCCTACTCAAAAATCTAAGTACGATTGACTGGCTTTATGTAACTTGATACGAGCTACCTATGCTTTGACTTTAGGTGATTGACGTGCCAGCTGGCACCACTTGCCTGTTTTTGTCTGTTGACTGAATTTAACTAGTCACAGTGCTTGCTTAAAATACAATATGACTGTTGGTGACTAGCCTGTGTAAAAGGCGTGGCAGGGGCTAGAGGATTGATTTTTTGACTGTCTGTGACTGTTCACATAGCAGGAGGGTAATGATAGAAACAATCTAAAACTCCTAGTCTGTTTATAATCTCCTTGACCATTACTAGATGATGGATGTATAAGATTCGAAAAATTCATTTTTAGCTTTATTCACTGAGCTCTTAAACGCTCAGTTGTGGACATTACATAACGCATTACATAATGCTGCCCAAACTTGACTTTACATTAGTTGTTTAACTCTTTCAGTGCCCAACTCGTACATGTACGAGGTATATTTGTTAGTACGAAAGCGCCAACCTCGTACATGTACGAGGTAATGTTCGTGATTAAAATCGCCAAACCTCGTACATGTACGAGGAAGAGTAAACATGTTATCACAAGGGGGCGCTCTCGCTCTTTCCAATGGTACCATTTTCATGCATGTACATTGTACGACCTGTATTTATTTTTTTATTCGAGCTCTTGCGAGAGGGCGCAGCACTGACACTCGTATTTTCTGCAAAAATGCGGAATTCCCCTGTGTGCAGGACAGTGTTTCAGGGTGTATCACTATGTATGTGACTACTATTGACTTTCCAATATACCAAGGATATACCAGAAAGTAACAACAAATTTAGTAAGTAAAACTTATTTACTTTTTTTTTTACAGAATTTTGAACAATTAACAAAAACGCTCGAAGTTGGGCACTTTAGGGTTAAACTTTTCAAATTTCGTGGGCACTGAAAGAGTTCATGTGTAATGGTATTTTTTTGGAGCCCTGAAAGATTTCAGGTGAAATGAATAACCTACATGTGGAACTTAAAATCTTAAAATGGGGAACTGCTCATGAAGTTAAAATAGGAAGATGGCTGCCAAAGTAGTGCTGGGCATTCACCACACGCACGTGATACAAAAATACATGCAGACTGCTTCAATGCCCTGATCTTTGGGAGCAATCAAATTTGATTGTGAAAATCACCGTCAATTTGCAAACGAGTGAATAACGCTGCCTGCCACTGTCCTGCTAAAAGCCGGGCTCTAACTGAAAAATCCTCTTTCTTGAGAGTCCGAGGCTTAAGGCCAGCGAGGAGCCAAGTGGATTTATTACTCGCCGGGAAAGACAATTAGAGTCTGAGATTATCTTCAAAGCCGACAATCCTGTTATTTTTCTCTTTTCTTCATTCCTATCATGAATCCTTATAAATTAAAAAGGCAGCGTCCTTGAGGAAGAATGCTTGTATCCTTTCTTATCAACAAATTCAACTTGTGGTGACTGAAAAGGGGATCAAGGTTAGCTCTCTCTGGTTTTAGCAAGTGGCAAAAACTTAACACGATCAATTACATCGGCTCCGTTCACAAGTACCCCCTCACCGGCAAAGAAAGTACAGTTTGGGGTGACCGACGACACCATCTTGCCTAGCTGACTGCAATTTTGCCGCGACGCACAGCCACCACTAGAACTGCGTGTACATAGTACAACTGAGTTGCTAGGTAAAAGGGCACCCTCTTTCGTTGGCACACGGAGCCCATAGTTTAGATTATTCTTACAGTTACACATGTACAATGGTCATGTGCTTCTCAATACTTGTAGTGTTCGTTTCAGTCAAAATGTAGCCGAGGCTGACATGACTCATGTACATATGAGTAAATCATGACAGCATTTATTAAGCATAAATTTCTACATTAAACTTCCCAAAAAATTGACAAGTTATCACTAAAGGTACATCAAAATTGGTAAGAAAGAGTAGAACATTAGCAAATAAGTGTTAGGGTCATATGAGGGTTGGGAAGTTACTGTACCCTCTTCGTCGTGACCCCAAAATTATATAAAGACATTTACAATTTTGTACATGTAATCTTGTATTACACTGGATTACATTACTCATTGATGAAACCATGAAGCGGGTACTTATAATGCCCGCGAAGCAGGCATTTGCCCACAAAACAGGTGTTTGCCTGCAGAGTGGTTGTTTGCCTGAGTAGCGGGCGACTTGCCTGTGAAATGGGCGACAGACGGCGAGGCCGCCTATACCCCACAAAGGGGGTGAGGCAAAGCCATGTGCGCATATGTCAAGGGCTTTTTACAATTAGTAATGTAACAACTAAACGTCTGTCACGGCATCCCTACGAATCTGGCCACGGGATGAGTGAGTGAGTGAGAGGAATATGGGTTGGACTTTGGAGAGTTAGTCACACAATTAGTAATAAAAGCGTTTAAATCACGACGCAAGGCAGCTGATTCATGAACTGGTTCATGTACCGGTACATTGGAAGTAATAGTGACTTCAACATGTACTCAGTCATGTCAGTTGATCCGAGATCAAATCCTAATGAGGAATTTTCGTTACTTTTTCATTTCCTCTGATATAAATAACATGTGACGCATTCTGGCTGCTCGCAGGGTTTTATTCTCTTTCCTAACACCTGCACCCCATCATTTCTGCCCAGTTTTGTCTCATTCCGCCAGAACGCCTCACATGTGAGAAGGAAGGGGTTTCAACACGTAACGCTTATGCTGGGTTTGTGTTGCAGATGACCATTAGATATATGCGTGCAATGGATCAATCAGAAGATGGGAAACTTGATCCTGCCCGAACCGCATGGGCCAAAAACAAAAATGCAGACCAGGACACATCCCGTGAAAGACACTCAAGTGGTTCAAATGGTACCTCAGAGGACCCCTCTGACACACTTCATTAACTCTGACGCTGCATGGAGTGTCCAGGGACCAACCAAACGTGTTGGATCAAAAAAACAAAATAAACACAAGCATCGTAAATCATGGTATGCCAATACTGTGGTCCCATTACAGTCTATGTATCGATATTCCCCTAAGTGTGTCTCCATCTGCGGAGGTGTGAACTTCATTCCTTGTTCCAATTTCATATGTTTTTCTTTTGTTACCCTGCTTTGAAGTAATTTGTTTTTTTTCCTGGACACCTTTACGATGATTGATATGCGCTGATATCGGTTAATGCATGCTGCTACATGATAAATCTGCTGAAATCAATTTCAGGAATCCACTACTTAATGTGGCCCCTTTTTTGATTGTGTGAACTTCCTACGCAATAAAACAAAACAAAAATAGAATAAAACCTGCAGATTATAAAAAAATATATGAAAAACACACATACATGTATATGCACAATCAGAAAATAAAATGACTTAAGAGTCAAAGATTTTACATATATGTTATAAAATTGGGGAGGAGCCATCTTCCTGAACCACCTGAACGCAAATTACACACCCCCTATACTTTCATTTAATAATTGGAAACACAAACATGACAAAAGCAGACAAAAAATCTACCTTACTGCCATGAGCCTTGAATATGCTGAGGAAAGTTGGTTTAACTTCCAATTTAATACAAATGTACTATTTGCCTCTAGTTGGGGATTATTCAGAGGCACATACACAATCATCATCTTCAAAGAAGACTTTAAATTTAAACTAGACTTATGTTTGTTGACTAACACGTACATGGCTGTTTCGGCATTTTGTTAAATAATGTTCAATTATACATTCCGCTGTGCAAGATTTGTAAAAGGCCTATTGCTCCTTTAAAACTAAATGGTCATTTCAGACGCATTTGGTTGGGTATATCACATAAAATGGTATGATATGGTTGGGTTTCTCATAGTATATCACATGATGTTCCAGCCAAACCCGTTAGATGCTGGATTTATTATTGAAGACACGATTTGGTCTTGCTTGTACCATGTCCAGCTCCTTATACCGATGACGCATCTCTGATGACAGGGATGGGTAATCCTGGGATTTTATGAAGCATCATATATCCTAGCAACCACAAAAGACCTTGGCGCCAATACATTATTAGCCCTCGGCCATTTGGGGAGCAATATAAATCATTCCCGTGGGACAATTAGGACTCCCCAGGAGACAAAAACAAGTCCATATACATCGAAATATTTGCCAAAGATACATGTGGGTAATCTTACTAAGCCCTGTACATGTACACTTGACATGTACATAAATTTAAGGCTGATCAAAATGGTGTTGTTCATCACAAAATGGAAAAACTATCACTGAAGGAAGGGGCAAGATTAGGTGTTGCGCTTTAAATAATTATATCCCCTTAAAGCCACAACTTCTTTGTGTTTCTACATTTGATTTTCTAAACACAACACTAAAATTCAATACGGCTTTTTGGTTATATTTTCAGTAATGTAATTTTTTTATCCCTGAAGCAAGTTGCAAGTAAAGCACAGGTAAAATCTGTGTTTTGTTGGTAGTAAACGAACCAATTTAACTAGGAATACAAAATAGTAACACATTTTAATTTCCATTTGATCAAACATTCAAATATTGTCATCAAGACAATTCCTGTTAATTAATGTACGCTTAAGGAGACATTTTTTTGTCATACCGTTAAGTTCTACCTTAAGCATGTTAGGGAGTCATAAGACATGAGGGAGACATTTCAATGTCTCCCAAATGTCACAGCTGATCCTAATTAGAGGCAAAATTTTAGTGTCACAAATAGGCTAGATCGATTGCTCATGGTCCAAAACATAAGTATACCACAATTAGTTTGGGTAGGCTAAGGGAAAATTGGGTTAGGGGTCATTGAAGTTAGAAAAACTTTGTGCACAACCCTATGGGAATGTATCCCCATAAGGTACCATTTCCCCTAATTGAAAAACAACATAACAACAGTAATAAAACAGTCACAAGCAGCATACTATAACACAAATTGCACATTAAAATCATTATACATGTAATACCCTCCAGCAATTATCAACAACTATATGTACCAATAGTAGCAACGGTTCAATATAGGTTTCATCACATACATGTAAACTATAACAAACACAATGCTGATTTTAAAAATTTGACCTTTTCCCTCCTTTCTTGTTATTTAACTCCTTCTGTTCTAAATTATTGAAGTTAAATATTAAAAGTGATCTAAAGCTGTAATAATTCTTGGCATATGCAGCACAAGAACAGTGAAATGTTTTTTTTTTTTTTAATTCCCATCACAAACATCAGATTCCAATAACAGAAAAGCCCCCCCCAAAAATAATTTAAAACTGAGCCACTGATATTGTGGTTAACTGTCATGCTGAGGGACAAACAACTGAAGGAATCAGGTTAGGTTGCTGTGGTGACCAACACCGTAGACTTGTATGATCAGACAAAGGTAACCAGATAAGGTAGGAAATTAAAATGTCAGCTTCAGTGTTATTGGATCTGACACTTTCAGCTGTCAGTTTCTTTCCATTGACTTCTGCTGACTAGCAGTCATCCACAGAGTTCTACAGCGTGTGTCAATAAAACTGTGGCAGTCAAATCCACTCTCTTTTTGCAAACAATATCTATTGAGTCTGAAGCAGTGGTGGCGGAATGCTTTTCAAACTGAGGGAGCAACACCAAAAAAGGGGCACTTGCTCAGAAAACAAGGCACCTTCAATCGGTGTGAAAGTGGAGGATAAATGGGGGAAAATATTAAAGAGTTAAACTTACCCACAGGTGTAACTAGAGGACAGGTGATACTGTACACCAGAATAATGGAGAATGTAGTCAAGACCCAAGCATACTGCACACCATACTGAAACTCATATGCTAGCCTCTGTAATGAATTTTTAAAACATATATCAATTAAAAATTATATCCGGCAGAATCCGCCAATAGCAAAGGCAAAGTAATTTTGCACTCCCCCCCTCTAAACAAAACTTTGTTTGGTACATGTATTTGTTTGATAAAATCTGATACATATATACAGTGGAACGCCGCTATACCGAACACCGCTTTACCGAACAGTCGGCTATACCGAGCATCATCAAATGTACAAAAGATTCCGATCATGGTTATTGAAAAAAAATCTACAGATTAACAAAAAATCTACCGGATGTATTAAATGGTGTTTTGGGTCACTTTTAACTTTCCTGAACATCAAACCACCCATGGTTACATCATGTTTGAATGTTGAAGAGCGATAGATGGCTATTATTTCCCCAAGGAATAAAAGGGAAAACCATTGCTTAAAGTTCGTGACAAGTCCTCGTGTAGCCGCGGGATGTGAGAAATGCCAGTTCACTGTTGGTCAAAAGAGCGTACCGGCGATTCAAAATAGCTATACCGAACGATCGTTATTACGAACACTTTCCGTGGATCCCGCGATGTTCGTTATAGCGGTGTTCCACTGTATTATCTACATGTAGCTCCATTAAACAGTGATTGAAAACCTCACTAAATTTTGAATTCCCTCAAGTAAGCTTTAATGTAGTGTCATGTAATCACAAAGATTTTAGTGTGGTACATACATGTATAACAACACACAGCCATTACTTTGGTTGCGAGTCTAAGAGCGTGAATAGGGCTACTGCATACTGCTATCAACTGGCCAGAAGTTAATTCCGTGGCGTATTAAGGTCATTTTTATTGGGGGGGGGGGGGCTAGACGTGAAAAAGGGCACTCGCCCATCCGTGCTGAAAGGTAGACGGTATTTTCAGGTCACTTGGCCACAGTAAAATCAAATTTGGTTGGGGGGGGGGGGAATGGGGGGAATTAGGGGGGAATGGTTCCATTTTTCTATGGGTGCTGTTCAAACCAGACGATTATGGCCACTATTGGACACTAGGTGGTGCTTTTTAGGGCGGTACAATTGCCGACGTTTGTGCGAAATTTCTAAAAGGGCACTCGTAAAAGCTCGCTGGCCAAAAAAAAAGGGGCACTTGTGTATAAATAAAAAGGCTACTCTTACAAAATGTAGGGGGAGGGAGGTAACAGCTGGTGAAAAAAACAGGGAACTTGTGTACAAAAGGGTACTCTTTACAAAATATTTTATTTAGGGGGGGGGGGGTTATACCCCCTTATCCCCCCACAGGCTATGCCACTGTTTTTCCTGGAGACTGCTTATGACCAGGAGTTGGTTCCTTCATTTTCCTGATGTATTAATGTGATATGGACTGTGTTAAAGGCATGGCAGGGGGAGAAGGACTGACGTTTTTTGACTGCTTGTGACTGTTCAGATAGCAGGAAGGTTAGCTGTAGAATTCTGAACAACTTCCCCAATAATTTTTTTCCACAGTAAAGTTGTCAGTTTTAAACAATGCTGATAACTTCAAAGCGGGAATACCAGGAAAAAGTTGTTCAGAATCTGCAGCTAATACACAAAACAATGGGCTTACTTTGGATACAATTTCGTCACCGGTTTCACGAAGGGACGGGTATGTGGATTTTGAAGAAAAACCTCTTTCGAGATAATTGCAAGAGAAGTTTCTCCGTTCTTAAAACTGCAAAAACTACTACACTTTGCAACAACTTTATGCAATAAGGAAACCTTGACGTAATTCTTTGATGGGTAAACTTTAATTTGAACCCGGTAATTTTAATTAAAATAGTGGTTAAAAAGCCAAAATTAATTAGTAAAGATGCCTGTCCTTACGTGAAAACGAAAATCTCACATTTCCACATTTACGCCCTTCTTGTTCAACATGCTTTTCTATAGGGAAGGGCGCCAGTGTTCGATTGCGCGTGCAGCTGAGAATGTAACAAAGATGCCCGTCCCTTCATGAAATTGAAAATCTTCGTTGACCTACTTTTACGCCTTTCTGTGCAATAGGTTTTGTACTTGTTCAAGGGGCAGGCATGTTCGCGTCTCTTTGTGAAATCGCAAAATGCAATTATCGAGATGCCTGCCCCTGGCGTCATTAATGTTATTCAGGAATTAACAATGTTTTGCTTACAGAAACATGTCAGAATGCTTAAGTACCATGTTTTAAAGCAAAATAGTGAAAAAACTTGAAATTGAAAAAATTGTCAATTTTGACATGCCCGTCTCTTCGTGAAACCGGTGACGATTTGTCTGCAACTTATCCCAAATGATAAATAAGATCTCTCCTTACACTTCTCTTGGTGATCTTCTCGGCCTTCGACCTGGTCCACAGCATGGTGATCCCGTACAGGAAGAGCTCCGGGAATCGTATCAGCTCCAATGCTGTACCGATGAACGCCGAGGTGATGACGTAGTTGACAAAGAAGGCTCCGTTCTCCGGCAGGAAGATGCAACTAATTAGTAATAGCAGGATGCATATTTCATTTTTTTTTTTTTTTTACAAACTTGTAACAAGTTTTTGCGACATAATTTCATAAATGCTGTATACAGCACTCCGTGTTGATGAGGGCTTACAAGAAAAAGTTTATAAGTTTCCTCTGGTGGGACTCAAACTAATACAGCAGTGTCCAATCATTTAATAAATTTGTCACTGAATTTTTTTATCGACTATTGTGTGCCAATTCCAAACAATCTGGGGAAAAAAGAGTGGGAGTTCTTTAAGACAAATGTGACCTTCTTCTGTGATAACCACAAAGTTACAAAATCAGCTTTCTAATGGCACACACCAATGTCAGTGTCAAGATGACTGTAGGTGTGAAAAATGGTCGGGAAATTGACCATTTTGCATGCCGACCTGATTCTCATGTAGGAGCATTAACACAGACATCAGAGAGCTACATGCGCATAGAAATCTGCATCAAATTCCTGCTTGAAGAGCTTTAAAGTATCTTAATAGTTTGAAGTCCCCATCTCGAATGCACCCCAAGAAAATATCCAACTGAGCATGTTTAAAGGTACACTGGAGCATTTGCATATTGTGTATTTTTCTTTTTTTGAAGCAACAAAATTGTTCAAAATCTTAAGTAGGGTGTACTGTGTAACAACTAACTTGCTGAAGTTTCAGCTCAGTGGATACTACACATAAAAAAGTGTGCTAGAAGGCACCCCACTAAATTTGAAACCACCTTCAGTGTTAGTTGAAGGCGGAATAATTTCGCAGGGTGTTTGATACCAGTCCTATCTTAACTTTGAGCAAGTTTCTTTCATTAAATCGGTAGGTACTTTTCTGGAAAATTGCAAATGTCCTACGTGGCTTTAAGCAGTACCGGTTCATGCAATTGGTAAAAACAACTGTGCTATAATTGACTTAAAGGTACAGTCCATCATTTGTAGTTTGTGCATTTTGTTCGTTTGAAGCGAAAAAAGAGCTCAAAATCTAAAGAAGGGTGCTGAACAACTAACCTGATGAAGTTTCAGCTCAGCTTCAGCTGTATATTTTGAGAAAAACAACATTCTAGGATCTCGATTTCAAATCAAAAGTTGCTGAATCATAACTGAATTGGGCCTAAATTTTGCGTCCGAGACACGTTCTCACTGAGCCGATTGCAGCTGCAGAAGATGTTGCGCACTGATCCGACGAATTATAGCAACTGCGCGGACGTGTGCGTCGTGTCAATGCTTGCGCACGCTTCGCCGAATAGAAAAACGAACTACTAACGGAAATTTCCAACGATGCGTCTTTCGACGCATCGTTGGAAAGGCCTTCTTTTGTTGATTTCTTCAAAATGACAGCATGCCAGAAAGAATAATTTCAAAGGGAGTTTAGTCCCCTTACTATCTTTCAACCAAATATGTTTTTCAACAACAATTACGTCGTTTACTTTTTGGACAGCTGCAAATGAAGGACTGTAGCTTTAAGTTAAATTAAGTCTTAATCTTCTGTTACTAGACAACACAATGTATTTTGAGGAATTGTTGGTTTGAGTTATCTGAATAGATAATTACTCCAAGGGAGAAATTAAGACATGTTTTGGAAACGCTGTATCAATATTGAGTTGCATAGCCTGGGTGCTGAGTTACTGGTGAGCGTGGTGGAGCTAGCCTGATGACAAGATGATGAAATGTTAGTATTAACTCATTAGTTCCTATACAGCCTTAAACTGCCCGGCCTGTTACTTCCTGCAGCACAAACCACCTCTGCACTGAGTTGTTTTATGGGTTCAACAGGGAATAAATACAGTGCAATACTATGTACATGTAATTCAAGTGATACAATGTAATAGTATACAAATATTGAATGCTTCCAGTGGTGTAGTAAAACTAGCCTCCCGAGTTGATCCACGGACCATTCTATTTTCCCGAGGCGGAGCCGAGGGAAAATAGAATGGTCCATGGATCACCGAGGGAGGCTAGTTTTACTTCACCACGAGATAAAGCATTCAATATTTGTTTTATAACACTTCACCCACAGATTCTGCTTGGTTTCAATATTTTAAATTATTTAAATCTGAACACAGTTGAAATAAAGTTTAATTTCAATACAAAATTGGTGGAAAATGTATTTCTCTCTTCCAAACTACCCCTTCATGAAATGTTTGAACCCAACTCTGCGGCGCACTCTCTTTGGAACAAAATGCGCTACGCACAACTTGCACACCAGCATGCATTTGCACACAAATACCGCGCCGTGGAGATAGTACTTTGGTTGCTAATGGTATAGTACTTTGGTTGCTACGGGTATAGTTCTTTTGGCCGTGCACAGAAAGATAGCAAAAATAGAAAGTATCATGTGACTCACTCTTGGCCAATCAAGACACAGAATCTGTGGATGAGGTGTTATAAAAGTGCTTATTGATTTATTTAAGTGTAAGGGGGTATCTAACCATCAGGATATCTGATACACGATGCACATGTATGTAAGGAGATAATCACATTTCCTCCCCACATCAAGGAGGTGTTGCTTATTCACAAACATGAAAAAACTGTATCGAGGAAGCAGAAGACATACAGATAATCTTGCAAACAAACAAGTGCAAATGTTGAGTGATGTGCAAATGTCATGAATGTAAGCAATCTGATGAGGTCAAATAAAGTTGCTAAAAAGTACTTAAATAGACCATATCAAAATAGTTTCTTGTTGCTATAACATATCATGTGATAGGCATTATGCCCACCGTATTTGAGTACAAAAGTGCACAATGCCTGTCTTACATGTATAGCAGAGCATTCTGAAGCAACTAGGGACTATTCTGGTAGGTCTGTAATAAACAACAGCAGTATTTGTAGACCCACAAAAATGATACGGGCAAGTAAAATTGAAAGGACAAAAAAAAATGTAATGGTTTTTGCCCCATTTCCATGTGAATACCTAGTCTAAAAAATCTTAAATCATTCTTCAGCTAGTATGTTGTGAACAGTTTAGTACCCTTTTTGAATGATCATATTAGAAACGTTACAACAAAAGCATCACAACATACACAATATAAATCAGGAGCTGATTAACAATGCCCCAAAAATCTTGTTATAGTCAGACTCAAACAGAATCCAATTCCAGTTGTTAGCAATTAGTCTAAATTTAGCATTAATGGCATGAATTTATTCCTGGTTCAAACTGGCACTTCGCTAGCTCCATAAACCTAAAAGAATAACCACCAACCATGCCAACGGTAGATGATCCATACAGGTGAATTTCATGCATAGATTTCCATGTATAACTTTCTCAAAACGTCATTTTTTCCCCCACATTACTATGTTTTAAAGGGCCCATGTAATGTAATTTTGTTTAATGCAATCATTGAAAATGCACCTTTGTGTCCCATTTAACCCTATTTTAAATTTTCATTTTGCAATTTTCAAGGGCATTTGGTGCTTTTTGGGGTTTGTATGCTAATGCAAATTTTCAAATTCATGAGCAAAAGTATGACGTCATTTCAGGCAAGAACCTCATGTTACAGCAATTTTTGCACCCAAAGTTGCTAGATTATTTGATATTTTGTTGTTGTAGATTTTCTTTTTTTTGGTTCATTGTCGTGTCAGTGCATGGCAGTAAGCCAATGAGCAAACTTTTCTCACAAACACTGTCAATGAGCAAATTTTGGGTTCACAATTTGATTAAAAAACCTCATAAACTGAACAGTGTCTTGCTGAAATGACATCACAGCAACAGCGCCCTCAGTTGTCCAGAAAAGCATGGAACATTTTAAATGTCTAAAGAAGTGCAGTTTCAATCAAATTAACCAAAAAGGGGGGCGAAGTAGTTTTTTTATATTTAAGAGAAGAAAATTGCTCCTATATAATTGCTCTATAAATTGCTCTGTTTCATCTTAAGTGGGGTCAGGGAACCAGATGACAAGAACATGATTGGTTTTTTTGGGGTTTTTCCTGCATCTACAAACCCAAAACTTCAAACTGGTCAGTGTAACAGTATGTGCTATAAAGTACTAACCCCCGCAAATCTATTCAATTCTGAAAATTACAGCAAAATCAAATGTTGTATATTCCCTTCAACATCAATTTTGAAATATGTTTGGCTCATGAATATAGTGACATCTTGGATCTGGAAGCTTGAGTTGTTCTGAAGTACGACAACACTCACTCTTTAAGTATACAGGTATTGCAAATGAAGCCATAGTTTCCTTTCTGTTTAAAAATATCAAACTTTATTCAAATTCTAGGTACAATGTAGCTCTGTGCCACTCTGGCATGCCAGTCAGAACCAGGAGTTAGTGTAACTTGACCCAAGATAGAACTGATTAATGGAAAATAATGTACTGCAGTATCTTCACTATGGACGTAGGTGAAACACTTTGTGTGCACACACATATGGTCACATCACTGAAATTTGTATTCTTGTGGAGACATTTCTTTGTTCTCGTGTAGTAAAGTTTTCGAGTTTGAAAGTGGAGTTTCAAAATGCTCTTATTTTAACCACAATTAATTTCCTTGGTTGAAATTCGGACTTAATATCCCTTTTCTAAAACTCTTCCATTTGCGACCGATCAACCCACCTTGGAAATTCCTAGTTTTTGAGTAAATTCCATATATGTATTTCGTGAAAATCTTGTGGTGACGTATTCATCTATAGAAATTGCCCTACGAGACGTATACAATCTTTTGTTCCCTATTGTGTGCACGTCTCCAGAGGGCACGGTGTATCGGATCACCCTTTAGACACTTTTCAAATACTGTGTGATCCTTACATCTTTTTGTACCACACAGCATTTTCCCCGTCCATTTTGCAAGACACAAACCAACTGTTTGACAGCTTTTATTTTACTATAAACTGTCAAATCTAATTCCAACTAGCGATTCCAGATGATGCAACTACTGCCTAAATCTTTACAACTGGGTAGACCACACAGAACCAGATAAGCACCAGCCAAACCCAGTCAGAACCGGTTTGTTCCAGAACTAGTTAGAAACAGGCAATGCCAAAAAACGTGCATGAAATATCCCACACAATGAAGTGAGGATCAGAAAATGAAGAGATACTGTACTCTTACGAAAATCAGGCAAAAATTGCGCTACTGAAAGGTGTCCATTTTTTTTTTTTTAGAAAATTTCATTCTCTCAGAGTAAAAATATAGACAGAATTCTTTAATTCTCGCTCAGTCTGACAGCGATGACATTTCTACCTTTTTATTTTACAATGGATCAGAGCACTACAGGTAAATTACCCATCTCGCATATAAAGACACCCAAAAGGCAGTGGAAGTAAAGTTGTCGGAAAAAAAACATACAGAAATCAAAACAGACATTCCCCAAAGAACCTTTTAGGGCCTAAAGTCAGTGAGTTTAAATTTCCACAACCAATAAGGAAAGCTCCCCCAAGAGGACATACCTGAAAGGTCAAAGGTTAGTAGTCATGGAAACATAGTAAAGAGATTAGAGATTATGTGGCTTTTGATGGTACTGAAGCGCCCTCTTCTGATCTTAGTTGAACAGTGGCAGTTAAAAAGCTTGCTTTTTGAAGTCCCTTCCCTGGCCTTAAGAGTTATTTCCAAAATTTCAGTTTCTGCAGTATTTGCTTTTAAAACTGACAACAAAATCCAACAATTATCTTTTATTAGTGTATCGTTTAAATTTCCTTCTAAAATAAGGCAACTGATATAACATTGATTTCTACACTGCCACATTCTCAACAAAAATTCAAGGGAGCTCCAATTACCACCAAAGCAAAAGCCAGTGATACAGAGGCTAGCAACAGTGGGCACATCAAATTTTGACACCGAATGGCTGCAACCACACAGATTAACTCCGCATTCCACACTGCATAAGGGAGCCATGTTGTGTCCAAATTCTAGAGACCACTATCACAGCTCTATCCATGGCTTCACACAAAAGAATTCATCTTTTTGCAAACTCCATGATGCAATGGATGTCAATGTGCTAGTAAAGGATGCGAGAGAGAGAAGTATTGTTAAAAGCACGAGTCTTGATGATGATGTCAGCTGGCAGGAATGGGATGATGACATAGGTCAAAGGTTAACCTCGAAGAAAGGTCACTCACTACCCCCCAACTTACCCCCATCTCATCTGGATCTCTTCAGCAGAGTTCAGCCAATATTGAATCAAGGCCTGGGCACTGAATGTTCGGTTCAATGACAGGGAAACAAAAAAGAAACGCAGACAGTTACACTTTGAAGGGATTTTATAAGTTTCTCTTTTAACTTACCCCCAGCGAATGGACACATCCTTGGTGCTTGCACGGATCCAATACTCGAACAATGCTTGCGCACTGGGTGGTTAAGAAAGTCAACACACAGACCACGACACCAATACCAAAGAATAAATTAGTACATGATGTTAATCAACCAACAAAACACCGATTCCGCGATGTTACGCATGTTATAACTTGATATGAACAAACTTGTATCTAATGTACACGCATTTACATACAAGTTTAGAGACATGTTTGTAGGGTAACCTTGAACTTTTTGAAGGATATGAGTTTTCTGAAATTATGATTCAAAGGTTCAAAATAAAACATTTGTTGAAATTGTGCAATAAAACATACCTTAAAGAGGTTGTGGAATGCTCGAAAACATTTCCGTCATTTTTTGGGTATATGTAGCCTAGGGTGTGATGAAATAAAAACGACTATTGTTTCTGTCATGAAATGAGTACAAAAGGTAGGGCCTACTTTTGAGAGCTATTTTTCAGGTCCTGTTTCGACCCGAACGTGCAATTTGTGTAAAAGTCGTCGTTGCGGGCAGCAAACAAAACACAGTAAATCGTGACGTAATAAACAGGACTCGTTTATGCTACTCTACATCGGGAGTCCTGTTTATTACGTCACGATTTACTGTGTTTTGTTTGCTGCCCGCAACGACGACTTTTACACAAATTGCACATTCGGGTCGAAACAGGCATGACAGGACTTGAAAAACAGCTCTCAAAAGTACCTTTTGTACTCATTTTATGACAGAAACAATAGTCGTTTTTATTTCATCACACCTTAGGCTACATATACCCGAAGAATGACAGAAATGTCTTCGAGCATTCCACAACCTTATTAAAGGAAAATGAAAAGAACAGGAAGGAAAGATATGTCAGTATTAACAAATAATGACTGCTTCAAGTGGTGTAGTAAAACTAATCTCCCAAGGTGATCCATAGAACGTTCTATTCCCCAAAGAGATGGGAAACGGGCCATGGGGCACCAAAGGAGGGTAGTTTTACCACACAAGTTGAAGTAGACATTATTTTGTAGAAATCTCAACCGCACATTCTGCTTGATTTTTAGAGCAGAAAAATCCAATAATTTTTTTTCCATTTCAATATAAAATAAGTTAAAAATTCAATTGCACCTTTTCTATCGACCCATTTATGAGGTGTTTGAACCAAACTCTGTAGTGCATGGGAACAATATGCGCAACGGGCACACCCATATGCATGTGCACACTGACCTCCATTGGTTGCTTTGCATTTAATACTTTTACAGCGTTTGAATGGTCTTTTGGGCCGTGTGAAGTCTTTTTGGTTGTGCCATTAAGTAGGGCTGTTTCAGTTTGGAATAATTGAGTAGTCGATATTCGAAACTGTGTTTGACCGAATAATTAAATTTGAAACTTGCCAATTATGGGCTTTAACCCGCTCAAAGGATGGGAACAATGAACTGCCAATGACAAAAATAATACCATTGACAAAAAGTGGCATCTGGTACTGCAGTATCACCGTATAGTCACAGTTGTTGGTTTTTTAGTACCGACTAGCTTGGCATGGAATTCACTTTTTGGAGGTCGAGTATACTAGAAGTAGGCACGGTTTGGGTTATTTATTTGAAAATGTTATTTGTTTGGAGTGGAATCATCGGAAAGAGAGGCAGAGATAGTGATCGATTCCTTGTTCACAGGGGATGTGAACCCCTAACACGACGGGTGGCGTCAACCAATGTGACCCTCCGACCCTTATACCACCATGGAGCATGCATGGAGAAAGGAAAAGACGTCACGTATTAACTATTATTTTGATGACATAATAGCTCTCAATAGCACAAGGCACTTTGTCAAGGTATACCAAGGAATTAGCACAGTAACTCGTCAGTCAGTCACGGATGATTGAGGTATTATAGAACTAAACAAAGACTAGATCTTAATGTAAATTAGACTAAAGAGGAGCCTGAAGGACAGGTAAAGGGAGATATGGTGCAGGATCATAAAAAGAGACAATAAAAAAAAGGGATGTATTTGGCACATGTCATCAACAAACAGTCGGTGCAGGTAAAGTCAAACTTTTACCTAGCCAGGCCAAGCGAGGGCAGCACAAGCACCATCAGTATCAGGAACAGGAATGTCTTGCGCATGATGGTGTGGTTCAGCTTGGTGCGGGTCCAGTGGAACTCACAGTAGTAGCTGGAGTAGATGACTAAGATGGGCAGCATGGCCGCAAAGGTCCAGAGAAGAATGGTGGGCAGGAATTGAGAGATGAAAGGAGACTGGGAAAACAAAGGCAAAAGACCAAAGAAATCAGTCTTTGATTATTACATCATCAGGATAATGCAAAAAATGACTGGAGACCTGACTAGGATTTGTCTTGGTTTTAGGGCTCCCACAACATTTTTTTGCTAGCCATGGCATATTTGGAAAAGCCGGGGGAGGGGGTTAAAGATATAGTCCATCATTTGTAATTTGTGCATTTTGTTCGTTTTAAGCAACAAAAGTGCTTAAAATCTATAGAAGGGTGCTGAACAACTAACCTGATAAAGTTTCAGCTCAGCTTCAGCTGTATATTCCGAGAAAAACATCATTCTAGGATCTCAATTTCAAATCAAAAGTTGCTGAATCATGTTTTGAATTGGGCCTGAATTCAGTGTCCGAGACACGTTCTCCCCGAGCCGATTGCAGTTATGCGATGGCACGCACTGATCCGACGAATTATAGCAACCGCGTGTGCGTGTGCGTCGTGCCAATGCTTGCGCATGCTTCGCCGAATAACAAAACGAACTACTAATTTAAATTTCCTACAGTGCTTCTTAAGAAGCACCGTTGGAAAGGCCTACTTTCGTTGATTACTTCAAAATGACAGCTTGCCAGAAAGAATAATTTCACAGGGAGTTTAGTCCCCTTACTATCTTTCAACCAAGTATGTTTTTCAACAATAATTACGTCAGTTACTTTTCAGTTAGCTGCAAATGATGGACTACAGCTTTAAGGCTGGATTGACCTCATCTGACACTTGAGGAACAGTTCATGATAGATGTATTCTTACATACATGTAATGGTGTTGTGTAATGTTGATCGGCTCCAACCACTTTTTTTGGGGGGGGGGGTTAGGGGCCAGCCTCCCTCCCTTTAGGTGCGCAACTGGATGTCATATGTGAAGATATGTAACACCCTCACAGCTTCTATGATGTCTTTTTGATTTTGTTGTTTTTGGAATATGACCCGTTAGAATTCATACCTCGCAACTAGGTATAAATGCAGATTAACACAGTGCCTGCAAGCCTTTTAATTTGTTAAATCACACTGATCCTTGAATTTATCAAAACCAAAACGTGTCCTGAAACCACTTCCCTAGACAGTATGAAAAAAAAATCCCTGTGTTGCGAGCTACAACAGGTGCCATATTGCGGGACAGGTACCTGTATTAAAGGCCGGTATATACTCAGCATCTTGGCAAGTTGTAGAGAAATCGAGTCGAGTTCAACATGTTTCCAATCGCCGAATTCGCAGCAAGAGTTTCATGACGTAAAGTCCGCTTTGCTTTTGCATTCCCGTGAAGTATGGACCGGCCATTAATGCAGGACATGATTGAATACAGTGCTCATGAATCCGTTCCCACAATGACATTTGTTGCAGAAACAAGGGACTATTCCATACGGTCATTTGTTTTCCTAGCAGGTTTTTGTCTTACCTTAACATCTTTGACTGCGTCCTCAATGTTTTTGCTTCCGACAGGGCTGGTCATGATGACAGAGGGTGTCGTCAGGAAGAACAGTAGAATAAATAAGGCTGGAGAAGAAACAAATGTCAGCAGTTGAACAAACTTCCATTTCAATGATTATTACGAAACCCCAACCCTCCCGGATCATTCAAAACCAATCAAGGGCTTCGGAGAATTTGGAGTAGAGAGTTTTGAGTACAAAGAATGTGCCATTAGGTTTGTGCCTGTGGTGGATTTGGGCTGAATAAGAGAGGCTCCTAAAAAACAAAAAAACCTACACAGTAAACTAAAATGTGAGGTGGCGAACTTCAGTGGGGCAGTGTAAAATTACAGCAGGGCAGCCCGATCTCCAACAATAATAATAATAATAATAATTTGGGGGGCTAATCATCCTTACTCGCAGCTGGGATGCTGAATTGCGAAGGACGCGGCTACAACGTGGTCGGGCCGCTGGCACGTAAAGGCACCTATAGCTGCCGGCCACATCGACCCATAAATGACCACGCAGCACAGCCTGAGATCGGAAGTGTTTGATTTTTCCGGAGGGAGGAAAACCGAAGGGCCCGGAGAAAAACCCTCGTGGCACAGGAGAGAACCAACGCACAACTCTACTCACATGTGATCCGCGGCCAGGATTCGAACCGTGGTCACCTTGGTGAGAGGCGAGCGCTTTACGCACAAGCCACCCATGCTAATGAATACTCAGTATCGTGAGGGTGCAACTTTAAGAACTTCCGACCGGGAAATAAAATCATAAACTGATGATAACAAAAAAGGAAGGCTCAGTGTTGTGAAGTTGAGTCCATCACAAGTCCAGTCACAAGTAAATCACGAGCAACTTCACAAGTCCAGTTACAAAATAAAAAATGAGAGGTAAGCAATAACAAACGACTGCCTTTGTTAGAGATGATCAAAATATATTGTGATATGACTTGGGACTTGATGCCTCGAGACCGACTAATGATGGACTTGTGATGACTTGTGAGGAAATTTCGGAAGGCTTCTCACCAAGGTTGATAAAGATGACGCTTCCCCACCACAGCAGTGGTCCAACAGACAAATTCTCCCTGTCGAAGGATTGGAATGTGAACCATTGAAATGCAAATCATGCATGATGAAAAGGAGGTCATAGAAGAGGACCGAACAGTGCCGTGAAACAGATTCTGTGCAGAAGCTACTATGGAGCCTCTGCACAGTTGAAAGAGAGGCTACGCTGGCAAGCATCAACCAGCAGGCCCTGCCCACTGCGCATATGAGCAGCAACATGTGTGCCACTGAAGCCACGCTGCACTTTCCGGCTGTGCACATGCATGCAAGCATGTCAGTCTATTTTGCAGGCATGTCGGACATTAATCACTGCTGCCGTTCAGTTTCATCACGGGCAACGGCCCGCTTCCTAGAAAAAGGCCCCGGGTTGCCCTCGGCTTACATGGCTCAGGCAGACAGCAGATGCCGTGCAGATAACACCAAGCACAGATCCTCAACACATGAATAAACAACATTCTCAAATTTCAGGTTAGAGGCGTGATATGGCTTTTGCGCGTCGTGTGTGCAGGTGCGCGAGACTCGATGCGCGACTGCAGTCTTTCAGTGGTCAAATTTCACTCAGACGGCAGCTGTCGGCGATCATGGTGCGCGCATTGTTCTATATGTTCTATGCGTTGTTTTATGTGCGGAAGTGGCATATCACGCCCCTTGACGAACCGTTCCGCACATTTTGTACACAAGCTCAGATGAGTCGTTGAGCCTTGTGTAGAGGATCCGTGCACTGCTGGGCTTTTGCGCTTGACCGGATAAAATTGGAGGTCACTACAACCCTTTGATGGCTAGGTGCAGCAGTGAGTGAGTGATGGGTCAGAACATTATGGCAGGGCTGAACGGATCAGTCTCTTTCATAGGATTGATTTTTTTTGTGGAGGTACATGTAATGCTCAGACTAAGTTTTTACATACCAGACAATGTCATCAGGCTTGGGGGCAAAGTGGACATTCCACACGGTGGAGTGAAGCTGTTTACTGACACTAGACACCGTGGGAGGACCGGTCTTCAGGGTCGCGTAGTCATTCACAATCCTGAAAAGATTCATCAAATTTCCTAAATATTTGTAGTAGTTATAAGAGACGGTATGAAAAAACACATGTCACTTGGTCTATGAAAACCCGGTAATAGAAACAAAGGTCACACTGCTCATGGTCTCCATGCATAACTAAACTCTCAGCGGTATAAAAATGCATGTCACAGTTATGAAACACCTGAATTCCACGAACCGCACTGTGCATTCTTCTCATAGGAACGTCATATAGGTCTGTTCACAATCGTTTGAAGGTACATTTAAATCACGTAATTTTGATGACATAATTGTGCGCGAGTGAGTGTAATGTGTCGTCCATTAACCATGTTAACTGTGGTGAGAAGGCCACACAGTGTCATCGGTTACAGAGTCCACACTATTAGTCAATATGAAATCTATGTGGCATTATGAAACATTCATAAATACCTAAGACAGTTTACTCATTCCTATTGGTCCAGAGTTCGTCACTTGGCCGGTTTTATACGGTTGATAAAGACATGGCTGGCTGGTCTTAAACACTTTTCCAGTGTCACGCGAAATATTGAGTATTATGAAATCCGGTGCCAGCACCATTTTAATTGGTTAAACATTCACACTCCTCATGTAGACATGTGCAATACTACCAGTGAGTCAGTATTTCAAAGTCCTAAAGTCACACTACACTGGCACATCTGCGTTGTGCGCCACATATCATGCAGTAAACATCTGAATTCCACGAATCGCCCTTTGCATCCTTCTCATCATGCAAATGTCATACAGGTCCGTTAACAATCGTTTGAAGGTAAATCATGTAATTTTGTGTCATAAGTGTGCATGTATGAGTGTAATGTGTCGTCCATTAGCTGTGCAGGAAAGGCCACACAATGTCATGGGTTACAGAGTCCACACTATTAGTCAATATGAAATCCATGTAACATTATGAAACATTCACAAATACCTAAGACAGTTTACCAATTCCTGCCGGTCGAAATTCCTACAAGTCATTCTCCATATAAGAAATTATTTACCAGAGGCCTTACCATTGTTAGCTAGAGGGTATTTTGTTTATCGAAATCGTTGGAAATATATAATTTGGACTTGTTCTGACTGTTGGACAAAAATGTTTTGACTTTTTTTTATCGAAAAAGTATCTATGAATGGGAATAAATACGTGCTTTGTCGTTATTAAACACTCTGTTTAAGACCGGTTGTAGTCTGGATGCTAATTATTAACCGAGCCGAAGGCGATGGTAAGCATCAGCATCCGGAATCTAACCGGTCTTAAACAGAGTGTTTAAAACCTTGAAAGCACACATTTATTCCATTAATAATAATCCTGGAAAGTTGAGGGGAAAATTCGCCCATAGACTGATTGCACATCAGTCAGCAACATCTGCTTTTTCAACGAGTGGCAAGAAAGGACACTTTTTGTAACTTTCAAGAGCCCAGAGGATGGGACACACCACATGCATACACTGGTTTGCACGCTTAAGTGCACCCGGCTTATTTTATTCTGAATGTGCACAAAGACACAGTATCTTTGTATAAGCGTCAGGCATCGTTGGCTATGCATTTGAATGTCTCTCCCAGAGATCACCCCAAACACAAGATTCACGAGGGAAATGCAGATCTTCTGTCAGACATAAGGAACCCTGTAAGGGAACATTTTCTCCTTGACATTTCCAGAACTAATATCTAGATGACTAAGAAAACAAGAGAGTGTTCAAGCTTTTCGACAGGGCGAGCTGTGGTCAAGTCCATCGAAATTCAAATCGCGAGGCAATCGCAATGCATGTACAGTAATGTCACAAGTGACCAAAGATAGACTACGACAAAGGAAATTTTTATACAGTTCTGTGCATTGGACAACAAAAATAAAATACAAGCCTGTGTAGGCTACGAGTGGTACATGTACCGGTACATTGGTTCAGCAACTGGGCTACATACCTGCCAGCCATGATCTCATTCTGTACAGTCACAAACGCCATGCCCAGGTTGCTCTTAAGAGCGTGACCCTTCTCTTCCATGACCTGTCTCGTTAAGTCATCCTCCCGGTTGCCATAGTAATCAATAGCATCCACCTGGGAAACAAACGAGACAGGGAGATATTGGTAACACAGTCTTGAAGGGGATTGCCGAATTAGTCTGCAAGCATCCAGATATCCTCTCATGAGGTGATCTTAGGAGGTGTCTAACTTCTGCAATGTACATGAACTTAGTGCAAGGACGTTTGTACGTGGGAGGAACAAAAAGGATGGTTTATAGCGAGAGTCCATCATTTGCAGCCATCTGAAAAGTAACTGGCGTAATTATTGTTGAAAAACATACTTGGTTGAAAGATAGTAAGGGGACTAAACTCCCTGTAAAATTATTCTTTCTGGCAAGCTGTCATTTTGAAGTAATCAACGAAAGAAGGCCTTTCCCACAGTGCGTCTTAAGATGCACCGTAGGAAAATTTAAAGTAGTAGTTCGTTTTGTGATTCGGCGAAGCGCGCGCAAGCATTGGCACAATGCACACGCACATGCGGTTTGCTATAATTCGTCGGATCAGTGCGCGACATCGCGTATAGCTGCAACCGGCTCAGTGAGAACGTGTCTCGGACGCTGAATTCAGGCCCAATTCAAAACATGATTCAGCAACTTTTGATTTGAAATTGAGATCCTAAAATGCTGTTTTTCTCAGAAATATACAGCTGAAGCTGAGCTGAAACTTCATCAGGCTAGTTGTTCAGTATCCTTCATTAGATTTTGAACACTTTTGTTGCTTCAAACGAACAAAATGCACAAATTATAAATGATGGACTCTGTCTTTAACATAACCCTGGTACAGTAGATACAACAAGGTGCTAGGTGTAAAAGTCTGTGTTGAGACAATGAGAGCTATTCCCATTGGCCGATGCTTATGTTAGATCCTGTGGTGGCTAGCAGACTTTGAGGAAGTTTGGCCTTGGGAATAAGCCAGTTCGGTATCTCGATGAAGTAGTCCATGTCAAAGGTCATTGGGGATAAAATCACTGACGTGAAGATACACGATGTTACGTGGACGCCCAGTCTGCTTGTAATAAGCCATTTGCGAGTAACCTATACCCTTTGGGATTTACATTTGAAAAACGTCTGGTACAATGACTTGCTCAGAATGCTTGGCACATTTTAACTTTGAATTCTCCAGACTAAAGACACTGTTGCTAATCACAAGATTCGGGGCAAGCTCTTGCATAGTTATGTAAGAGACGTTCAGCATCAATACATCGTTCACAATGGGTGAGAATGGCACAAAGACACCAGACCATGCCGGAGCTGGGGGTTGCTAGCATAAGGCTTGCCCCGAATCACGTGATATAGTAACAGTCTCTTTGGTCGGGAGAATGCTAGGTTAAAACGTGCAAAGCATTGTATTAAGTCAGCGTTCCAGATTTTATTCAAATTTAACTCGCAAATGGCTTATTAACACGGGAGTGTAGTGTGCCCGTCTCCTCCGTCCGCGCGCAGCGCCTTCGATGAGCATTCAATTATCCCGAATGACCCATGACCCGTATCATTGTGCGCATGTGCAGTTGAAATACCGAACTGGCTTATTGGACCTGTTGGATCTGCTACTTGGGGCAGGTTTCTAAGTTTGAAAACTTTTGTATGTTGTTGCATTCAGCAAAAATTGACCTGGAATGTTAGCTTTAGCGACGATTTAAAAGGTAGGAATGCTTTGATAAGAAATGTCTTGGGAAGATTGAAGACAAACGTCATAACCCTAACTCCCTGTGGTGTGTTAAATACCGGTATCATATGAAAAATGGAGAATTTGGGACTGTCGGGGTAAATGAAACAAATGATAACGATGGAATGTGCTTTCCATGCAACTTGGAAAACTAAGGTTTCTCATTTACAATTGCAATCAAGCACTGATATGTCTCAAGGTAATGTACATAGAGCCTGTAAAAACAAAATACTATGAGATCTTGGACGAGATTCAAGCACATGACTTCCTACTTGCTTCTGCGATCATCTTTACCACTTCAGTACAAATCTAGGAAAGTACAATATAATTTTATAATATACAACATTTGCTTTTGGTGTAGTTTCCAGAAATGGATGTATTTGGTGGTTAGTATTTTATAGCAAATACACTGACCAGTTTACAGCTTTGTGTTCACAGATGCTCGAAAAACCAAGAAAAAAATGGTGTTCTTGTGGTCTGGTTCTCTAACCCTACTTCAGACGAAACAGAGCAAGTTATATACTTAGGGAAACTGTCAGGTCAGGGAACCAGACCAGCTGGCTTGCACCTGTCACGGATGTAAACGAAATTTGGACTAACTAAATTTGGTGAAATGGGGGCAGTATTTTAAAAAGTCTTCTTTTTTCCCCCCAATGATGATCGGCCTTACATCGTTGGAAACTAATACAAAAATTCCACCTTTTCTTTAAAAGTGACAGCACGCCAGGTGCCATGATTTCACAGGATGCTTGAGAGACTATTATTCACTCACAGTCAAGTAAGGTACATTTGTATTTCATAATAATTTGGTAGTTTTGTTTTTTGATGTTTGCAAATGTTGTACATGTACCTTCAAATTTCTTTACAATACCTTGGGACCTCCGCAAAAATCACAGCAGCCAACTTGTCCACAGGTTCCCTGTCTCAGTTGGGGTCGTTGGCCAGTTTTGGAGTAAATCCCCTCACAGTGCAGTCGATTCAGTCTAGCATCACGCCTGTATGGAACAAATACATAATCCTGTGTCTTGGAAATGGTCGAAAGTTGGCATTCGGTTATCAACAATTGTGATGTAATCTTGAAAGTACAAGTATGTCATTTGCAGCTGCTGCTGCTGTTTTGCCATAGTCCTCATAGAACTGTCGGCATTCTCTTGTGTGCCTTCGCTCTTGCCACGGCCATTCCTCCATCCGTCCACTTCCTGATGTTATCGATCCATCCTGTTTTCCTACGTCCTGGCCTGGCCTTCCCTTCTACTTCTCCTTCTACTGTCATCTGAACTAGGCTATCTGATCGGCGCTTCCAATGTCCATACACAGACAACTTCCTCTTCCTTATAAACTGGACAAGCAGACCTTCCTCTTCTGAAACTCCTACCCTTTGGCGGATCCATGCATTGGTCTTTCTATCTTTCCAGCTGACCTGAAGCATTCTACGCCACACCCACAGCTCAAATGATTCTATCTTCTTCATGTCATTCTGTTTTAATGTCCAACTTTCTGCACCATAGAGGGCTACACTCCACACGAGAGATTTCACCAGCTGTTTCCTCAGTTTCAGGCTGATCTCTTTTGCCTTCCACAGTCCAATTAGTTGGCTGGTGGCATCTCTTGCAATTGCCAACCTAGCAAAAATCTCTGGTGTAGAGTCTCCATCAATCCTTACCATTGAGCCAAGGTATTTGAAGCTGTCTACCTGGTTGATTGCACTTCCGCCAAGAAAGATCTGTATTTGCTACCATGAACCATAACATGAGTTTTGGCTGAGTTTATATGGAGACCAAAGGTGTGGCTGCATTTCTCTAATTCTACTGCTTGCTTTTCCAGTTCTGTTTTTGAGCGTGCAATCAGTGTGGTGTCATCAGCATAGCGGATATTCTATATTGCTCTTCCACCAACAATGCTACCCGATCTTTCATCTAGTGTCTCTTTCACCTGTCGCAAGATGGCTTCACCACAGGCATTGAAAAGCAAGGGGGACACAATGCAGCCCTGCCGAACTCCTTTCTCAAATGGAAACTGGTCTGTTTGCAGCTATCCAAAAGTAACTAACAAAATTATTGTTGAAATGCTTACTTGGTTTAAAGATGGGGATGCCAATAAACACCCTGTGAAATTATTCTTTCTGTCATGCTGTCATTTTGAAGAAAACAATAAAACAAGGCCATTTCCAAAGATGCGTCAAGTGTTGGAGCTGGTTTGTTCTTCGGCAAATCCGTGAATGGGTGCGCGAAAGCATTGATGCGATGCTTGAGCGCGCACGGTTACAATTTTCGTCGAGAACGTGTCCCGGATGCTGATTTCAGGGGCACTTCAAAACATGCATAGGCAACTTTTGAGTTGAAATCGAGATCCTAGAATATTGTTTTCTCAGAATATACAGCATTCACAGAGCTAAAACTTCATCAGGTTAGTTATTCAACACCCGTCTTTAGATTTTGAGCACTTTTGTTGCTTCAAACGAAAAAAATGCATAAAATGACAAATGATCTACACTACGTTTACAATTTTAGACGCTTTGGGACAACGCCTGAAATGGAGTTAAATCCAAAACCTTTTTTTTTATTTTTGTTTTTTGGTGATTCTAAACATGCCTCATAATACCAAAGAAGTTTCAGATCGTGGTTTTGCCTCTTCCAATGATTTTATTGATGATCTGTTCAGGAATTCATTGACCCGTCTGTTGTCAGCATGTGCCAACATACAGCAAGTTCAAGCGAGGACTTTGGTTAACCATAGTCACAGGACGGTTGGACTACTCTAGTCAACTATTTGAAACAGGAGAACAGTGGTACCACTCCCAACACTAGTTACCAATAGAGCTGCGTAAATAATGATGCACATCAGGGAGCCAGCACCTGATTTCACAAAGCGCTGCGACGCGTCGCAACTCGCGATGCGTCGTAAAATCCATTTCACGAAAGTTGCGATGTGTTGAACGCTTCGTATTGTTAAGGAAGTTCCTTGACAACAGCTTAAAACACGTCGCAAGCTACGACGTGTCTAGTGGTTGTCGCAAAATAAGAAGAGTCCATTTTAAGCCAGTTTTGTGCCATAAACATCACGTATTAAACGAGATTATAATACCGAGGCAATGTGTGTAAAGTTAAAATAGAAAATTCATTGAATAATTGTGAATTAGCCTGGAATATTGCAGTTGAAATTTCAAAGTAGCTACATTCCACTGAGAGCTTGTTTTCCTTTTAAAATTGCATCACACGGCCGCCATTTTGTCCTACGTTTTAACAAATTCCGAGCGGAGATCCGACGACCTTTTGTTGAATACCAGACGACTATTTACTGTATGCTGACTTCATACATAAAACAGTCACCGAATTGTGCTATAAATACACATTCGACGCGTCGCACTTACGACTTGATTTGTGAAATGGATTGCAGGACGCGTCGCAGCTGCGACGCGTCGTAGGGATACAATGCGTCACAGCGCTGTGATACATCGTAAGTTACGATGAGTTTCGTGAAATCGGGTGCAGGATCAAACAAAAATTGTGATGACATTTTGACAAGTCTTTGACAGGAGGCGTTCACATAGTGCAAAGGCATACATGTAAGTTACAAGTATGTCACAAATCAACCACCTGTCAACTAATGGTCCTCATCCAAAATGTCTCATATTTGTAATTGTCAAAGACCAAGACAATAGCTCACAGCATACCTCTGTAAGTCCAACTTCTTGAGCTTGGCAATGTCATAGGCAAACTGGACATCAATGACAGTCACCTCTGGATAAGCTTCTCTGTAAAACAATTTATGATAAGAAGCCAAGTTCAATGTCACAAAAACATTTATTGAGACACCCCCCCAAAAAAAGAGCTGTATCCTCTGTGAGTGATCCCCAATGGCATTTTCCATGTTTGCAGCAATTTATACATCAGCTAGCATCATCCATGTAATCCCTGACCAACCTTTCAAAGTTCAGATCAGATTAACAGACCACCATTATCACAAAGCAATGAATTTGGTTGAAAATTCAGAGAGAATGACCAATCTGAAGTTTCAATCACAAGCACATAAGAGATCCTTCTCATATAATCCAGCAGAAGGTATAATGCATGTAAATTTGCAGGGTGGGGAGAAGTACCACAGGAGAAAAGAGAAAGACTTACTGGAAATGCTGTTTGATAAGTGCAGCATCCGTTCTCTCAAGTGGTATACCACTGACAAACAGTGTCTGCGATACCTGGAGGAAGAGAGAAATCAAACATAAGTTTCACTTGGATGAATAACAGTCCTGAATCCTCAAATTTGAATATGATTTTGCACACCCCCTAGGGAGTTAGGGTTAACGAATTTAAACATCTTTGCTTTCATAATTAGCACAAAATCTATACTGGGGGAGTGTGGCCTAGTCGTCAGGGTTGTGACTCATAATCAGAGAGTCAGGGGTTCAAATCCAGCTGCTGGTCACACATGCATGGTGTCCTTGGGCAAACCACTTTACTCCCAACTTGCCTCTCTCCACCCCGGAGTATAAATGGGTACCAGCATAAGCTGGACTGGTATGCCATATACAGGGATTAACAAATATTTTTCTCGCCACTGAAACGATAAACGGAAGCACTATGAAATTGGGCCCCAAATGTTGTTCACCACATAAGTTTGCTGAACAGTACTTTCTGCCAAGCAGCTCCACCAAAGTTGTCCAAGATTGCTTTGTCAACTTATAACCTAACGTACAAGGGTATAGCACTCTGTAAAATCTTTGTCAGCATCAAGCTTCAACGAAGAGCATTGAGATTTTAGACTCTTTTTTAAGCTCTGGCAGGAGCTTCTACAAGTCACTTTGGTGTCGGTCAGTTTGTTGGTCGCCGAAAAATTGACAAAAACCGTTTTACACAAATTGAGCGAATGCCATGCCATCAGCAGTAATGGCAAACAATTTGTAAAGTTGTTTATGGAAATTTCGTAAACAGAGGCAAGATATGTGCAGTATTGTTATAGGCACTTGGTATTTTCTGTAGTGGTTGGTATCCTAAAGGAGTAAATGAAAATTGACGGAAAGTATGAAGTTCCAGATATGCCATCCTCATCGCATTTTTCGCCAGAGCTTATTGTGCACTCGCACTTGTTTTCTCAAATCCTGGCCATTGTGCATTACTTACATTATCGTTCTCCTCTCGATATGGTACATGAGTGGAAAAATGCCTCATTGCACCAACAGTCAATAGGAAGAACAGCATACAGAAGATGGTGTGGACCCACAACTTATCCGAACTGCAAAAGAAAAAAACAAAAACGTTATTCAAGCTTGTACATGGCAAGGTCCACCTGTGTGAATGCACAATTCTCCATGGTGAAACAGTATATTCCTTTTTGTATCTCGAGCTGTTTCATTATAATGTATGGATTCATGGACTCATTAAACAGTAAATACAATGACATACAATAAACACGACAGCATTAGACTCACTTTGTGGGTATATTGCTAATGGTTGTCCGGCCAAAGTTCTCTGGTCCGAGTTCCTGACTTCCACTGAAGTTAACGGGTAAGATGACCCCAATAGACAGGACGCATACAATGATGACCAGTAGGATCAGGTAACGCTGGAACTGCAGGTACTGCACTGCATCCACACCAGACTTCAGCCTGATATCCTCATCCCTAATAGTGGCAAAAAAGCAGTCAGAATACAGAATACATGTAATAATAATAATACCGGAGTCTTACATGTATATAGCGCACGTATCTACCAACAATTAGGTACTCAAGGTGCTGGAAATTATGTCTATTATTTTAAGACAGGTAAATGAAGTCTATGAGAAATACGAGACCCATTATGTAGTACCTTATAATGGTTTACAAGGTGCTGCGGCGCATATTGCAGCCACTGCCAGAAACACCGGGGCAAACCCCTTCTCTTAGCGATGAAAGTTACTGGGTTCTTTAACGTGCATTACAAAACACACAGGACCTACAGCTTTACGTCCCATCCAACATTTGTCCAAAGGACGAGGCAATAATGGTAAAATGCCTTGCTTAAGAGCACAAGCACCACGTTTCAACGGTCAGGATTCGAACCCATGTATCACGACACACGAGTCAAACACTGTAACCATTGGATCACAGCACCCCACTGTACAGACCCGGGGGGTGCAGATGGACACAACCCCCACCCCAACCCCCACCCCCAGCATATAGAAGCTGGCCAGCAAAGGAGTCTTAGCCCCTCCCCCCCAAGTGGCACTTTGAATCCGAGACTACTCAATTTTATGTTTTAACCACATAATCGAAATTGTATTTTACTTGTAGGTCTGCATGCTTTTAGAATAGCTTCCGAATGCTTTGGCTTAATGATGCCCATAAAATTCCCATGACTTTTACTAACTCTTATCGAGGATCAAAATACAGGTCACATGTGAGACATTGTCTGGCTCGTGCCAGACAGTAACAACTTCTGATGAAGGGCAACGATGTCACTCAAATGTCAAGAAAAAAACCAGTACATGTCAGTTTTATTGTGCAAATTTTTTTATTTCTCTTCAATTATACATCACTCACAATCAGATGAATCTAAGGCCAAAAAAAAAAAGGCTCCGGTTTCTGGTATGCGCGCGCATCGCCGTAGCCATGCGCGTCGGCAAAATGAAAAAGGTTTTTTTTCAATGAAAGATGATGTCTCAAAACCGCCAAACCCAGTGGTTTGTCTGGAATCCTGCTGCTGCACAATTTTAACGTGTTTTTAGATGGGGTTATGATCGAGAATAAGCTTTATGTGGCCTCTATGGTCTCCCATAATATTTGCACTAAGTTTAGTCGGGCACCATTTGCAGTCATCAGCCGACATTTGAAGCAAAAAAAAACAGGTTAAAAAAAAAAAAAAAGCTGCGTCGCCGCACCACTTTTTGGGCAAGCTCCATACCAGACACCGGAGACTTTTTTTTGGTGGCCTAATCACAATTTTTTTTTTTTTTACCCTCAACATTTGTAATGCTTCAATAAGTAAAGGAGATTCTAAAGGAAAAAAACCACTTACTTGATTTTGAACATTGCTGGAAGCCAATCAATAAATCCCTGTTATAGGAAATAAACGGATACAATTAATTTTCTCTTAACACTTTTTTAAACAGGTAATGGTGAGACATCTAATGATTCCGGTAATGGCAAATATACAGCTGTGTCAACTGTATCATCGCAACATATATTTTACAGTAACCCCTGGTTAAAGCTACAGTCCATCATTTGCAGCTATCCGAAAAGTAGCTGGCGTAATTATTGTTGAAAAACATACTTGGTTGAAAGATAGTAAGGGGACTAAACTCCCTGTGAAATTATTCTTTCTGGCAAGCTGTCATTTTGAAGTAATCAGCGAAAGAAGGCCTTTCCAACGGTGCTTCTTAAGACGCACCGTAGGAAAATTTAAATTAGTAGTTCGTTTTGTTATTCGGCGAAGCGCGCGCAAGCATTGGCACGACGCACACGCACCCCCGGTTGCTATAATTCGTCAGATCAGTGCGCGACATCGCGTAGCTGCATTCGGCTCAGCGAGAACGTGTCTCGGACGCTGAATTCAGGCGCAATTCAAAACATGATTCAGCAACTTTCGATTTGATATTGAGATCCTAGAATGCTGTTTTTCTCAGAATATACAGCTGAAGCTGAGCTGAAACTTTATCAGGTTAGTTGTTCAGTACCCTTCTTTAGATTTTGAGCACTTTTGTTGCCTCAAACGAACAAAATGCACAAATTACAAATGATGGACTATAACTTTAAAGGAATGTACAACATTTGCTTTTGCTGCTATTTTCAGAAATAAATGGATTTGGAGGATTAGTACCGGTATGTTATAGCAAATATTGTTGCACTGACTTGTTTCTTGTTTTGGGTTCGTAGATGCTGGAAAAACCAAGAAAACCAATCATATTCTTATAGTCTGGTTCCCTGACGCCACTTAAGATGAACAGGAGCAATTTATAGACTTTGGGGAATTGTTAAGATCATGAGAATCAGTCTAGCAGGCTTGTGGTCTTCACAGGTGTGTAATCAATTGCAAAGAAAACGCAGACGAATTAAATATGAAGAATTAGGAGCAGTTTTTGAAAATTAGGAGCAGTTTTCTTGAAAATGTCAGCACACCAGGAGCTGCAACTTTAAAGGATGCTTTAGGCTGTCATTCCCTAACAATCCAGTGAGATGTTTCGGGATAATTTGATCATTTCGTTTTTTGATGTTTGCAAATGTTGTATCTTCCCTTTAAGACATTTACAAAAGCATGCAGGTGCGCTGCAACAAATCAAAACCTTACCCAATGGCATTTTAGTTCTAAAAAAACAACAACAAGAATCAGCCCAAGAATCAGAATTTGCAGATTTAGGCAGTTTATATGGAAGTTTATACTACTGACTACAAGGGGAAAAAAATGTAATTTATTCTTCTGGGCTTATCTAAATCTGTATGAATTTAAATTTTTTTTTATTGGGAATAAGGTTGGCAGGTTACTTATGGCTTAGGTATTGTCACCTGGGGACACTTACGGTAGATGGAATAGTTTGTGAGTTGACTTGGGACCGGATGACTTGTGATCGACTCATGATGGACTTACGAGGACTTGAGATGCAACACAGGGAAGAGATTGTCAATTTAATAAAACTTTGATGAAAGGTCTGAAAGCTGCATTTCTTTCTATACTGGTCTTTCTCTCACATTTAAAAAGTCTGATTTCAGACCAAAGTCTGAAAAATCAAGATTTTTAAAAATTTGGTTTGAATTCCACTATGCATGCAGTTTCCATTTTGGAAACCAGATATTCAAAAACAAACTTTAAAATAAATCAGGCCTTCCATTTTTCGTGTGAAACAAGCTTAAGAAAACAAGTGGCACATCCCCCAAATTGCTCCATGCTCTCTGATTGTAACTGCATTCACTTGCTTGTGGCCTTTTTGGTATAGAACAGCCTGCCCATTCAACTTATCTGACAGTTCCCACCCATTTGTTTTCAACATATACAGTTTGGACTGTTTTTGTAAAGGCCCAGTGCTCATTGAATACTGCAAACTATCCCCAATCATTGGGAGGGCGTTGCATGCAGTACCTCAATCGTCACTTTTTACTGGCAATGACTGTGAGTTGAATGAGATCTTCCAGTGAAATTGAATAACTGTTTATTCGGTTAGAATTCTTTTTAGGATAACCGGATTTTGAAATATCTGATTTCTCCCACCACTAACCAACTTAAGTTCCTCAAGCACAAAACTGACCACAACCAGGAATTCTTGGTTGTACTGACAGGAATAAATACGGTTGTTAATTTTTAATTTTGTTTACCGGTGCCTTGCTGTGTGGTTCTTCTGGCTGTCCAACTGTCGTCTCTCCGTCTGCATTAATGGACGGCTTGCTGTTTTTCGGTTTACTGTGGTCGCCGTAAAACATGCTGGTCCATCTATCATTTGACAAAACAATAATCAAAATGATGTTCAAAGAATAGTTTTTATTGTTTATGAAAACGTTAGTATGTAATTATCCAAAATACTTCAAGCCAAACAAGTAACTGTTGTTTGTAAGTGTATTTCATTATTATTATTTTTAGAGCAGTAAACCTCCCAACCTTTGAGTAATTTTCATTTTCACATGAAGACAAACTTCATTTTGGGTTACCTGATTAGAATGGGTATTTAGTACATGTAGGTCTATGTTTCTTACATTTGTGTGATTTATCCTATGTATTTAGTTATTTGTATTGTTTGCAGAACGTCAATGGAATCCAGTTTTAACTGTGTTTGGACATACCCTGGGTAAAGCAATGTAAATGAATTTGTAGATAAATAATATTTTTTAAAAACTATTTTGACGTAAAATTAGCCGGAACCATTTTCAATTTAGGGCACATTGCTCTGTAACACATGGTCTGCATGTAAATCTCGGTTTAATTTGATATCATGAGACTACCTGACTACAGGCGTATGACAGGGCACGGGTATATACATGTACATGTATTAAGCCACATTGAGGATGTAAAAAAAAATCAGTACCTGGTATTACGTGAAGTACCGGAACTAACGTTTTTAATTTAGTTGATAAGTGAATCCGTGTTCATTCTGTGGATAGGAATTCCATTTCTGATTTCAAACTTACAGTTACATGTAAATTAATTAAAAAAAAAACCAGAGTTACAAAATGTACATATAGAAAATTATTTCTGCAATTTGTAATTTTTATGGTGCAATAAATATAAATTTAAATCCCAAATGAACTGACATTTTTAATTTAGTTGATAAGTGAATCCGTGTTCATTCCGTGGATAGGAATTCCATTTCTGATATCAAAATTACATGTAAATTCATTCCATAAAATATATAGAGAGTTACATGTAAAGTAAGTTATTTCTGCAATTTGTAATTTTTATGGTGCAATAAATAAAACGTAAGGTTCAACAAATTCGCATTGATAATGAGAGGTTAGTTCCAAGAGCCGTGGATTGCGATGGCCATATGGCGCGTCAATTAGTACTTGATCATGTGCAATAAACAGTCTCCATTCAACCTCGTCCAACACTTCTGATGCATTATGTTAATTGGAATAACTCCGCAAATAGCCACTTTGTAAACCTTGCATATTCAAATTATTTTTTACATGTATACGTGTATATAAATGTACACTCTATAAAATGAAATTAACTCGTTAATTTTAACTGGTTTGATTTAAAGGGAATGCACAACATAAAATTTGCTTTTGCTGCAATTTTCAGAAATCAATGGATTTGGAGGATTAGTATGTTAATATTGTTAAATTGACTTGTTTTATGTTTTGGGCTTGTAGATATGCTTGGAAAACCAAGAAAACCCATCATGCATGTCATGTTCTTGTAGTCTGGTTCCCTGACCCCAATTAAGATGAAATGGAGCAATTTATAGACTTTGGGGAATTGTAAGGTCAAAGAATCAGTCTAGCAGGCTTGTACCCCTTCACAGGTGTGTAATCAATTGCAAAGAAAATGCAATATGAAAAATTAAGAACAGTTTTTGAGAAAAAAAAGCCAGCCAGTCTACCAGCGTTGGAAAAATACACTTTTTCTTGAAAATGTCAGCACACCAGGAGCCACAATTTTACAGGATGCTTTAGACTGTCATTCCTAACAATTCAGTAAGGTATTCCGTGATAATTTGATCATTTCAGTTTTTTGTATCTTCCCTTTAAACTGCTTAATGCACAAACTCGTTATCAATTTGAAAATTTTCAAGCAAAAAATCCTGGCAAGCAAAAATCCTGATGTAATAATTTTCAAAGACATAATGGAAAAGATTCTTGTTATATCTATATTTCACTGCCTGGTGTGAAGTCCCATCATCTGTCACAGAATATTTATTTGGCAGATTGAAATCTCTGGCCAAAGACAGAATTCACATCCCCCCCCCCCTCTCCTCAATTCTTTTCATTTCACTGTGACATATTCACCCCTTCGGGCAGGTATTCCAGCTTTAATTCCCTGTTTTGCCGATTAAAGATTAAGGACATGATCAGTGTGGCAGGGGGCGAGATGCAATCTGGCAAGGGCAGATCCACTTGAACTTTGCATAGCCAGCCGAAGGGTGGAAAGAGGAGTGATTAATGTATGCAAATTTATGCAGATGGTAAAGGGCAGATCTGATTGGAGGATGGAGCTCTTAAGCCTATAAATAATTCATTGCATTTGACAGGTACATGTATTTACATCCGAGATGTGGCCAGATGTGTGATCGTGTATTTCAATAATAATAGGAGGAACGCAATCTTCAATTACGGATATTAAATCAGAATCTGCATTAAGGTTTTGGCCATGGCCATTGAACTTCTTAATTTGTATGAGTAATGTTTATTCATGAGTAGCGTTTATTCATTAAGACAGCCTCCAGCACGGTGGAAATTGTAAATACCCATTCTCATATATGAAATGCTCTTTGCTTGTCATGCTTGTAGTGTAAGTTATATATTGGGCAAACAATTTTGTGACTGACTTAGGCAAAGGAATGCATTTTTTAATGTCTGCCTGGCTGTGATTATGTAAATGTAATAACAAGGAGTTGCACAAATTGTTGGTGATAGAGACATCCAGCGGATATAAATTAGAAAAAAATTGAGACAACTGGACTCAAATTTGATAGATAGAGAACAGTTTCAAGACCTATAAACAGTGCAGAAAACGCACAATGAACAGTTGATTCACATTTGCTATTGTTAACTGTAACGATCAGCAAACTTAAAAACCATCATTTCATCCTATTTTTTTCTGGCTATAAAATTTTGGAGCAAAACAATATTTATTTTACCCACCCACCCTATATTTCTTTAATGTAATAGGAAACATAACACTTCTTGGCCTAGTTAATTTCCATGTAAATTGCACATATTTTTAACCCTAAGACGATTGCAGTTTCATTTGTCGTAGCCTTGACATTACAGTTCAGCGTTTTGGGCTGATGCGCATATGTACATTTAGATCACGCACACGTTTGTTGAAATTGTACTTCGATTTCAGGCAGACTGAAGCCGCTGTTTGTTTTCACAGTGCATCCAGTGTTCCGTATCTCATGAATCTTGAGTTTATAGATAATGGTGTGAGCGCGTAGACTGTCCAATGTCAATTACGTTGTACCAGTGCATGTCAAAGTTGTCCTGATAAATGTTGCGCTTAAGTGAATCTGGAGAAAACTAAAGATAAGCCAAGGAAAAGTATTCTGCAGGCGCAGATATAGATTGATTACGTATTCTACATGTTCAACACTGAGTGAGGAAGAAAAGTTTGAAGTGAGAAAACTCAATTCCTAATCAAATTCCACATTGCCATGTACAAATTTATATTCTTTAGATAACTGGTTTTTAAACATAACCCATACTGTGTGATGCACATTAAGATTTCATGACAGCAATCAACCATAAACTGAAAATATTCATGACATGTTTAAGGGTCACCCGCAGCTGCTATTGGTTTCTGAATTTTCCAGTTCGGTATTTCAATGACCTGCGGTCATTCGGGATAACGTCGCTGACGTGATGTTAAGCGATGTTACGCGCACGCCCATTCTTGTTGGTAATTTACACGCAAGCGTCATGCGCCTGCGTTCATGCGCCTTCAAAGCGTTCGATTATCCCGAACGACCCGTGACCATATATCATTGAGCATATGCGTAGTTGAAATACCGAACTGGATTGTTAGAGTAACTTTAAAGGAAGGATTTAAGATGAAACTTGTGGGGAACAGTATCAAAAGCTGTGTGCCTTTTGGATGTTTTCTTCCCTCAAAAGGCCGCTTACGGTGTAGATACAAGTTATTAGTACAAGAACCTCTTTCCGTTATATTAAAAAATGACACAGCACCAACAATTAAGATAAAATACTTCAGAAATTATGTGCAGAAAACACTCAAAATGTTGAAAATGAAGTTTGGAAAAAAGAGCTGCAGCCTGCAAATTTAAAGTGGCATATTTTTGCATGCTGCAAACGATGCTTTCAACTTTTCAGCAAATCATTAAATTGGCAAAATGGTTTGAAATAATGAAAACATTAGTACAAAAAACACTTTTAAAGAAATCGCAGCAGTGTTGATACAAATTGCTGCAAAAACTCCGTGTGCAAATGCAGAAATGAAAGTTGCCTCTTTTTTTTTTTTAAAGAAATTATGGAAATGGTTAAAAAGAAGACAATGTTACTGTTAGTACAAAGCATGCAATTTTAGTCACACTGAAAACATCCCTGAAAGCTTAAAATATGCAAAAAGGTGAAAGGCACTCTAGAGATAAACATATAAACTGAATGTAAAATACGTAGTCAAAGATAAATCTGGTGACGATTAATGTCAAACAGCTGGCTTAAAATGCAGGCGTGTTTGTCGCAAGAAAGAGGACTTTCAGTTAATATTCCAAACAATTATTTTAGTTTCTCCAAAATCTTTACTGGCATTCCTGAGCATTTTTTTTCAAGTACCAGTATTCAATCTCTCACAAACAGTTCTTAAAGAAAATAAAAGGTTTCAGTGTACATGTAGGTTTCAGTTAACTGATACATTTAACCCTAACCGCCCTGAATCCTTCAAACTCCTCTTTGCCAAAGTGGAGGAATTTGGAGGATTGAGGTTACATGGCAAAAGTGCGTTACTGATTTCGTAAGATGCACTTTGTCAAGGTCTTGGGCCGGACCTTGTGTTGTTTTTTGCTCAATCATGATAAATATAGGCCTGGATTATGCTTGAAATCCTCCGTACTGCTCCAGGATGTCACTGGCCAAGCCTCAACATATTGACAGTCACTGCTTTGCAGGATTCAGGCAGTGGTCACCCCTCCACGGACCATATTCATGAAATAATGGAGGAATTTGCAGGATTGAGGCTATGCTATTTTCCCATGAGGCCAATTGGAGGATTTTGCAGGATTGAGGCTACATGTACATCCTTAGGCCTAGGGAGTTAGGGTCAATTGAAACTGCAATATATACATGAACAAATCAGACATGTAGAGGTTCAGGTACGTATTACGGTACATCTAGCTTGACAGCATGTTTAATGGTTACCATTAGCTGCTCAATATAAACAAGCTGGTAAATGAACATGTACATGTCTCAATTTATTAAAATGGAGACATGTACAATGTACAATGTGTGCTTTGCACTGCTGAAAAATAATAAAAGAAAAAAATCTGAGCACAGCAACATTTTTCGCTCATATAGGGGCCAACATGTATTGTGATTGTACCATATTTGTGATTTTACCATAGTACATGTACATGGACTGTATTTTGCAATTGAGTGACTGTAACATTGAAATGGAATTTTGTTTTGTTCTCATACTCAGTGGTAAAATCATACTGCTGTAAACCACAAGCGAATTGCAAATTCAAGTACTGAAACACAGCTTATAAAAATTGACATTATTATTTGACATGTTTGATGACAAAATGAATGGGGAAAAACAAACAAAGCGTACCAGTTGTTATACCTGTAACTGTAAGAAATGCATTGAAAATGTAATTTAACATGGAAAGCAGATTTAAATTCTGCAAAGATAAAATGGCACTTTTGATAGATTCTCAACTTTACATGCAAAATGCATGAAAAACAAATAAGCAATTGAAAAGAATTTGCTTGGCATTTTGCAAGTGTTCTCATACAGAAGCAGGCATATGATCAAGTTATTTTGATATTAGTGAGCCTAGAAAATGTGTACATGGTAAGCTTGATATAATATGAGCTCCCTTGCTGTACCATGAATTCGGAAATAGTAAGACAGTGCACAATATGCCAAGAAAATCATGCTTGGATGACAATTTAAACTGCAGCTAGTTTCAAGTCCCAACACCACAGAACCCTTTCAAATCAAACCCTGTGTACAGCCAGTAGCAATGATGGAGATAAGCTACATGTATACCAATTTAGGCTGTAACGCACATACAAACATGCATACATGTTCTTTATCTATGGCTCCAAATTTTTTGATCATCTATACAGAGCATTGGTGGCCAAAAAGTGGCTGTAACAAACAAATGAACCACTTTACCAAACAGTCTTTTGTGGACCCATTGTGTTTGTTACAGTGAAGTTCTGGGGTCTACCCCATGTTCCCCAACACTTATGTTCCCCAACACCGATGTTCCCCGAAATCCTTAGGGTTAGGGTTACAGCATAGAGCAAGAAACTCTTCTGAACCGACTGTTCCTTGCTCTGGTTATAGGGTAAGGATTTTGGGGAACATCGGTATTGGGGAACATACGTACATGTATTGGGGAACATACATGTAGGTATGCACCAAAAGTTCTTCTACATGTATATATATGCCAATCACTGAATATTGGTTTGTCATTTTTTTTTGGCACCAATTTGTTACCGTGGTACCGGTAAGTGAATTCACCGATCCACAATCACTGAGTCGTGATTTCAATAATTCAAATCATAAATCATGGCTACTGGCTGATATGGGTTCACTTCCTTCACCTCAGATGCATGCTATGAGTACTTTTTTTTCTTTTTATGACATCCAGTTTCTGACAGGCTCAGGTAAAGTACACTATATGGCTAGATATTTTGCCTTCAGATATCTGAAATGTCGAAGTACCATTTGTTTTAATAAAGGGCAGAGAAAACACCGTGATCAAAATTGTGATTTTTGACTACGCATACATGTAGCTGTGACTTATTCTGCTATGAAAATATATAAAATATGAGAGAATTCATCATCTGCACAGCACAAAAATTGCAACCTGTACATGTGGGTTCTGGAAATTCAAAAAAAAGGGGGGGGGGGAAGTCCATTTATTCCAAAATTTTAATTTTGGGGAATCCTGTCCAAAAACTGATTGTCATCCATGCTACCTTTGAAAATGTGCAGTTCGCAATGAAAAAAAAACAGAGAAAGTGCAAAAATAGAGGAGAAAAAACATGATCAAAGACAAACTTGTAAGCTTTCATACACATTGTATCCATTGGTGGATTTCGGTTCGCCATTGCTCAGTGGTCTCCTGTAGGGTAGGGGAAACAACAGGAAACAACAACATGTAGAGAGATACACAATTCACACAATACAGCAATAAAACAAAGACTTTAACAAGAAGGTGTACATAAGGGTACATTAGTTGAGAAAAACAAACTTCTCAATGTTAGTTCAATATGAGACATTCTTCGATGAATGTTGTTATGACAGTGAACTACTGTAAAACTAGCGGCTAATATACATGATGTACACGTAAAATTAGCGTACACAATGGATGGAAATTACAATGTACAGCGCGTCCCAAAATGCCCGCAAATTTTTTTTGCAAGGCTTTAGCGTCGCCACGGAAACAGGCACGGCCATTATTTTTATATCATGTTAAAGCTTGGAATCTTTACTTTATCCCTGGTACATATTTGTTTGATTTTCAAAAAGGGTTTTGAAATTATTCTTGACAAGGCATGTCAAAAACAAACTCAACCGATTTCAAGGAAAATTAATCATGCACATTTGTTCAAATGTGGAAATGCTTCATCATGTTCACGATGTGACGATCTTGTTGCCTTTTACTTTCTGTGTTTCCTTTTCTTTTTTGATCCACGTAGACTACACCTTAAATAAATTCACAACATTGTTCTTCATTTAAAGTTTTTTTTTATAATTTTTTTTATATTTCAACAGCTTGTTGACTCCAGGTGGAATCTGATGTACCGCATCATAGACTTCCCTTGAATTTGGTTGAGTTTCTTTTCGACATGTCTTTATTCGAACACAAATCATTTTAAAACTCTTTTAAATATCAAACCAATACTTGCTGGGGATAAAGTTAAGATTCCAAGCTTTAAAATGGTACATGTATAAAAATAATGGCAGTACGTGTTTCCGCACCGACACTAGAGCCTCACCAAAAAAAAGTTGCAGGTATTTTGGGACGCGTTGTAGATGATGTAACGAGGCCAAAAAAAATAATAGTTCTGCTTCCGGTTACCCTACATACCTTATTTTGACAGCCCTTACCCTAATTTATTTTGGGAAAAAATGAGGGAAAAAACCCTGAAAATCATCAATTACTATCTTTTACCCTTGACTACACACAGACACCTCCATATGATCGTACACGCAAAAAAATCCCCCCCCCCAAAAAAAAAAAAATCCCTAGGGTACCTATAACCTACATGCACCCTATTTTCAAATGCCATGTAATCGGAAGCAGAACTATATTTTTTTTGGCCTGATCAAAACATCATGACTTTCAACTAACAGTTGTTATGATAGTGAAATCACAAATTCTAGCAGCTCATACATGTATAGCTCCTACATAAAACATTCAAAACTGCATGACAATAAAAGACTATTCTAGACAAACTCTTAAGGTTAGTACTACCGGTACTAATCCCAACCTTTCCATCAAAGGGTTTTGAGAATTTGCAGTTGACAAAAAAGTACATGAAGAATTCCACCAGGACAGGTGTTGTAGGGAAGTCTGAACAAGGGTGGTCACCAGAGGCAAATGTGTAAAAGGGAAGGAGGTCAAGACTTTACCTGACACTGAGGGTTCTATTAATGAAAATGTGTACTTCGCGCTGATGATACTGACTTTTTATTTTGGCAATTTTTTTTCACCTAATACCACCAATATGGCATTAAAATCATCAATGGCCCTTCATGATTTTTTCTTCTTCCTTTTTTGTGTTCTTACATCTGAATGTTGCCACCCCCTCCCCTCTCCCCCCCCCCCCCCTCCCGACGGCCCCACTTGGCTACCTCAGTTTTCACAACTATTATTTCATACCCTCCATAGTTAAAGTACCATTGGGTTCCTGCAGCGACTGACGAAAGATTTTGATTATTCTGAAATGATCCAGGCAAAAAAATGCCTACAATGAGTGTAAAAGGGTTTATCTCTGAAACCTAGATGATTTTCACATCACAATTTCAAATTTTCTTTCAAACAATGACACCAAAATTATATCGTACTTGTATCTAAGCTTGTCCCTGTGCCTATTAAATGTAATTTCAGTTCTGCAACATGTGCAATCTTGCAATAAAACTGTACAAACAAAAACAGTCTTTTACTTCCTCAAACCACATTATTCAGTGCCTAATATTTTCCCACAAATGTACATGTATGTACCGCCACTGTTAACACATGTATACAGCGTGCAAGTACACTACACACAATCAGTATGAGCAAGTGTTTGAGGTGTTGTACATCTAATTCTGTAGGCATGAGACTAAATTTTATGGTTGAGGAAAAACTAATGAACTGATGAAGGAGATTGCGATAAATCACTGCTAATGAGGCATGCTTCGAACAAACAAGTAGTGAGATGAGATTCAAATAAGCTTGATCACAGGAATCAGATCAGTTCACCTTGCCATGCTTGCTGCATTTCAGAGAAATGCTTGGGTGAAAAAAATGTGGAAACTTTACTCTGATATAAATATATAAATTGTTTTTTTACAGTGGCCAAGTATCACAGATGATATGTGTCACTGCAGAGGAAATTTTGACATAAATGCAAGATAATACAGGAACACGGTGCCTTAAAAGGAAATGTACAATATTTGCAAACATTCAAACGTTTAACTGCCAAATTATTATGAAAAATATCCTCCTACGGTATATTTAGATCAAGCATCTTGTAAAATCATTGCGCAGCTGTCATTTTCAAGAGAAGGGGAATGACCATCATTTCCTTGCCCTTGCAAGAAAACGAATTGCTTTTTTTTCAAATACTGCTCCCAACCAATTGCCAACTGACCAAATTTCTTTTAGTTTACAATCGTTTTCATATCCGTAAAATGAGAATTAATTTCCCAAGTGACAAACTGGGATCATACCATAAGAGGGTGCAAGTCTAAACATATTTATGAAAAAAAAAAAAATTCAGCTAAAACCTTGCTTTGTGTCGAGAAAAATGACGCTCCTTATTTTCAAAGTTTCCTCAAAAGTATGATATCTACTGCGCTAAAATTTCTTAGGATTAGTAAATCTGATTCAGATTTTTAGTATTCTTGTTCCTTGAATCGACAAAAGTACTTTTCTTTTGCAAATTGGTGTCCATCACCTGTGCAAATTTCTCTAAGAAAAAGGAAACAAATTACAAGTACATTCCTCCCTCTATGCATGTGCAGTACAACCATGGAGGAAGGAATTCCTTCCTCCATGGTACCGGTACAACCAACCAACCAACCAACCAACCAATTGTCAGACAAGCTCGCAGGCATAAAATACATTGACTTGGAATCAATGTGTGCCTATAGCTTATGAGCGGCTTGTTTTGCCTGATCCGTTACAAATTTCTTACAGCCAACACCTTCTTGGATTAGGATCGGTTTTAAAATAACATCCCACCTCTGGAAAACTAACACAGATTAGCCACCCCAGGCAGTGTGTGAACGGTCTCGGGCAAGGAAGCAGACTGCCTTCCTATTAGAAACATGAGACTGTTGTCACAGTGTGAATGTCGGGACACTGAGGGGAAAAAAATCCTATTTTAATATGATGAGTATTGCGTAGGACGGTACAGGATATTGCACTTGAGCTAAACGTGGAAGAGGCCTACACGGTGGCGGGGGGGAATACAGCTCGCTTGATTAAATTACTGTCGTCTGCAATCAATAATCCAAATACATTGTAGGCTGTGAGCTGTATAGTATACAGGATGTGCGTGTATACATTTGTAGTGTACATGTACATGTACTGGGTGGGTACTGTGAGTTAATTAAAGGGGACATCAAATGGATGGCCAGAGGCCACACATTTTATTAAGTATTGTGATCCATTTGGATTTTACAATATAAAACAATAAGTTTTTTAATACAAGTACTGTAGGCTGATTGTGTCAGTTTTTTAACAGCCATTTTTCAGGGGCACTTGGGAGATTTCTTGTCAGGGATAGTGTGGGTAAAATATGTGACCGGCAAGATGGCACCTCCTATCATGCCTATTGCCTATAGAGAAGAGCCATACCGTACACGTATATGTATCTGCTCTATTAACTTTTCTGTTATTTACTTAATTATTTCTATGTACTTAATTTACCTCCATATTTACTTAATTCATGTGACATACTGGTACATGTAAATAAATTCACTGTATAAGGCAAAGAATTAATCTAGAAATGCATTTTAAACAAATATCCAAGATGCATGTATCCCTTGCTTCTTAGTTTAATATTTTTTTAACATTCCCATGGTGGATATGTGAATACTTTTAAACATGTAGGCATAACCGGTAGATGCATTAAGAGCAATTCTCCGTACATAATGTACATGTACATGTAGGCCTACTTAATTGCACAGGATTGTATTACTCTTTCTGCCTATAGATGTACGGTAGCTACCTAAATGCAAATGAACTTGTGTGGTCATTATCGTCATTATCATATCATGTGTACATGTACGCAGTGGGAGATGTGTTTACAGTAGCATCAAAAATGTAATTATATGTACACGAAGTACCGGTAGGCTCTGATCAATGGGGACGTACATTTTGTACATGTAAGCAATTTTGTGTATATATATGTAGGCCTACATGTATCGGTATATGAATGGTACAGGTACAGAACATGTACATTGTACATCTTGTGTACTACACCCGACATACTACAAAAAGCAAGTTCGGTATTTCGTTCCTGCGCAATGAAGTAGCCCAGGTTAAAGGTCATTCAGGATAACGACATTCAACGAGGTAGATGTACATGTTCAAGCACCAAAGGTTGCTGCTTACATGTACATGTATATCTGAAAGTTTGTTAAATGTGGTAAGGGAACAGTGCGCCGTATAGATCATTAGTTTGTGTGGTCTTCTGTCGTCATAAGCAACTCGCAAGTATCTTGCGCACTACGTGTCAGTGTAAAACGCATAGTAAATTGTTAATTTTCACCCTCTTTTCGGATTACAATGTATTTAATCATGTATTATTTGACCGAAAGAGGATGAGCAACACACTTGCGCCATGTGACTGTTTTTAAAAGCAGGATTAAGCCCGGTTCATGCTTCACACAAAAGCGAAGCAAAATTTGTGACGTCAACAATACATTCGAAGCGCATCCACCATTGTTGACGACATGAAATTTTGCTGATCGCACTTGCTTTCGGGTGAAGTATGAACCAGGATTTAGCCATAGATACATGAACGTACTTATAAGGCTTTCATTGGAGGCTGCAATTTTGGATTGCTTCTTGGTTCCGATAACTAAGCTTCCCCAGTAAGCTAAATGTGTACCCAATGCAAAACAACGTACTGGTGAATAACGATAAAGCTAAACATACATGTGTGCGTACACCTACGGTACATTGTATCTGTTGGGATGCAAAATGCCAGTACCTCTATTTGCAGAGAGTACCACAAAGAACCAATAGGCCTAGAGCCTGCAAGTAAAAGGTCACGCTGCTGGCTTCCGGAACCGTCACGCGGCCTGTCTATAGGCATTTTAAACTGGCTTTCCCTTTCTCTTGCTATAATTTTTGGATTTTTGCACTTCAATTTCCCATTCAAAGCTTCTGGAAGTGCACCACCAGGGGTGAATTTTCAGGCTCTAAGAAACAAAAAATGTTGTCTTTATAGAGAACGCTGTTTGTGTTTACATGTACATAGTATCCTGAATGACTTGTGACCTGCCACATTTTAGTATTGCAAGGCTTCGTACATTGTGCACATTTCTGACTCAAACCATTTCACTCGAACTACCATCACGTGAACTTTTCAAAGTGGCCAAAGGGCCCTTAACCATTACTCACTCAGTCAATTGAGTACCGAAGTGTGACGTCATTTAGAACCAGAAAGTGTAGTGTAAATGAATGGAGTACGCGCCCGTGTTGGTTCACGGGCCGAATCACGCGCTAATGTCTTTCACACACATTTTGTGCACGTGACGTATTCACTTCGGTACTCCATAGCAACAACAAAAGCTGTAAACTCTGAAAGAAGAAATACGTATTTGGAAAATGCATGAAAAGAGTTCTATAGCGTAAAATCCAAAATGCATGGAAGTTTCACCAACTAGTATCCAGTGGTATCATTCAACTCTACGTTGTAGAAAGAACTAAAAGAATAACTGAACAAAAATACGATTTGTAAAGTCAAGGACATGCTGCCGCATCAGCTACGGGTGCTATAAATGAGTGTTAATAATTCTAATAAAATCAGAAATGTATGAGAATGAAGAAAGTTTGGATTAGTGGAACTTCAAAACGGAAAAAACGGAATGGCAGTTTGTATGCTTTACCTTGGATCTCCACGCAGAAATCTGAACACAGGAAGGAAATGGGGGTAAACATTGAAATACAACAGAATGAAGTGAATGAGTGGAATGAAGATGGTTATTGTTCATGCACAAATGTATCAGTATGTACCGGTACATGACTGTGTACTGGACATAATGTATACTTTTAGTAACACACACACAAGCCACCCATGCCACCCCAGCTCAATTACATCAGCTTGTCCCTCACCTCAAATTGCATACATGTAGTTAGATTTTGCATTTTCTAATTAATAAAAAAAAAAAAATTGGAAGTGGTTGCAAATTACGTACATTTACACATATATAGGCCTACATTAATAGAAAAATGGGCTAAAACACCAATTGGCCAGTTTAGAACATGTTGTTCCTATTAATTACAAAAAAAATGGAAAAAAACTAAACCAACTCACAAATTCACAAAGTCTATACTTGTGTGGCGGGGATCTCCCCGGGCCAAACCTAAGTTCATTGGGACCAAGTCTGACACCTATTAGAGTGTTGCTGATCTTCCCGTACCCAAGCTTTCCCAAGACGAGAGACCACTCAGAGCGACCTCAAGGCTTAGGGAGCAGGTCCGTTTTGGAGGAAATATACCGCTGATTATGATGATTGTGATTACCCTCTGTTAATTACACAATAAACCAACAACAAATACACCTGGACAACAGCAATGTCAGCACCACAAATATAATCGTAATTTATTATACAATAATCAAGAAATATGTACACTAATGTAAACAATGCACGGCTAAGTCAACAATGTACACTAATGTAAACAATGCACACTAATGTAAACAATTTACACCAATGTAAACAATGTACACCAATGTAAACAATACACACCAATGTAAGCAACACACACCAATGTCAATAACACACGCCAATGTAAGTAGTGTCGTCGTCGTCAGGCAATCCTCGATTCGAGGAGTTGTCACTTTTGCTGCTGTCTCCCTCGCTGTTGATGACTGGTCTCGTGGCTATATACAATGTACAGTAGTCCCAGCCGTAACTGTATTGGTCGTCCACAGATGGAGCAGGAGAAATGCAGGGTTGAGTAAGGCTGAGACGCCCATTCTTTCCTTCGGCGTCTTTTTTCGTCCTCCTGCTGAAGGCGTGAGGGCTCGAAAAGCTGAACTCCACGTGTGATGGTGGAGCGCCAGGTGGAGCGGTTAGCTGCTTTGTCCTCCCAGGTGTCAATGGGAATTCCACAGCGATGCAGGTTCAGTTTGAGGAGGTCCATCAAACGCCTTCATCTGGACGTCTGGTTTCACAGATGGCAGCTATGTCGATATTAAAACGGGCCAACTCCCCTGAGACAAGAGCAGTACGTCGCTCAGGTCGTCCTGAACCATCTCGATCCATTAAGGTCCACACGTTCCACGCAGCAACGCAGAGGGGTTGGCAGATGTGTTTCTCTTTCTTTTCCTTTTTCCTCATCTCTGTCTCTTTCTCTTTATTTATTTCTTTCCTAGTAGTTCGACCGCATGTGGGTGAGCCCAATGGGTGCGGTTCCCAGCCGGGCCATGTTGTGAAGAGCGTGTTTAAATCACCTTTTCTAGATCCTTCCTCTGGTGTTGGGTGAGCAGCGCTCCGTCTAAAAAGACCTGCTCAGCCGCGGATGCAGCTGCTTGTGGCCAGTGTCTTCACAGGGTCACATAGCCACCAACCATCACACACCCGCCGCCAACGTGTGGGTTTCAGGCTGAAGACTTCCAGGATTCAACTTCCCTGTCCTTGGCCGTCACCTGTCCCTCATCGCCGCTGGGCTTGGAGGTACGACGATTGGCAAAAGTGAGCCACTCGCGTGAAAGATTAAGGTGGGTGCAGGCACGACTCTGGTTCCCACCACCTTGGCCCACACATTCCGGAATCCATGGCAGATTGGAGAATCCGACAATGGCAGAACACATGGGTTGCAGCAGACTGCCGAAATCCCAGTGTAACTGGATTCGCCTCAGAGCCTGTCCACAAGGCTCGTGGGACTGAGGCCAGTGTCGGGACACAGCTTTACAGGTATTATTTTTCCTCCTGCAGGGTGCTCATCCACCCTCCCCATCATCAGGCGGACCTTCAGGGGAGCGCCACTTTAGTCAGCAGCGACCCGACCATGACACAGACTGCACGGTTTACATTGTTACCGTGGCGGACGTACATCCAGTCTGACATTCAAGTACGTAAGTAGTGTACGCCAATGTAAATAACACACACCAATGTAAGTAATGCACGCCAATGTAAGTAATACACGCTGTTCAGCCTTAACCTGATTTACGCTTTACCTATGCAAGTTAGCATAAGTATCGTATAGTACATTCACTTGTACGGCTGCGCGTCAGCATTACACAGCGCAACTTCAGCACAGTCAGGGCCAGCGCCTTTACACAGTGCGCATCAGCATTACCCAAAACACAGAGCGCGAGCAATACACGTCCTTACCGTCCGCTGTCCACGGCACAACTCCTCCGCGCGATCACGTGAATACCCCTCAAGTGAACATGCACACGCTGTACAAACATGCATGTACTAAACCTATGGGCCTTGGCAACCAATAGCGTATGTGCATTCAGTCACTGAGCGCTTACGCTCCACCCAGTCACTAGCACACCGTGAATTAACGTTATTGCGATAGGAATGACGTAGTAAATAAACTAGCTATAAGTCCCTACACTTTCCGTTACATTGGCCCGAGCATGGTGGGGTTTGGCCTCATACTCCATAACCATAATAAAAATAAAAGGAAAGTGTACCTAAACCTTAACTCCATCTTTATAATACAATTTAAAACTTAAGGCTTAACTTTTTCTTTATAATTCAATATGAAACATAAGACTTAACTTTTTCTTTATAATTCAATAAAAAACATAAGGGGGGCTGATTTCAAAGCTCATTAAATATTCACAAGATATTGTACACAGTGTAAGGGGCAAAAAAACACCAAAATTTATCTCATTTAATATTCACAAGATTTCACAGGGAAAGATTACACAGAATCTGAATCAATTTCGCTCATTAAATATGCACAGGAACTTAACAGAATGGTACTGCATTTACACAAATTTAGAGGAAGAATTGTTGGATAATTTGCAGAGCTTTTTTACACATACATTTACTGCTAAATTTAGACCAGTTACCAATTTACACGATTTTGAAGATGAGGTATTTAATTAAAAGCATTTTGATTAATTAATGTGATATTTTTTTTTTTAATCGAAAATAAACATTTTATTTTTAATAGTGAAAACTGTAACTCAACATTTTAACCGTGAAAATGTTCAAAGCTCTTCGCTCGCTGTCTCCCATCGGACTCACCTCGTCCGCCTAGACTTGACCTGTGCTTGAAGTATACCCCCTGTTGTGCTCGTCGGTGGCGACTCGATCTGTTGCCATCCAGCCACATCTGGGTCGTGGTACCATCATGCATTGGGTCTCCGTCCTAGTCCTCTTCGTGGATGGGGTCGACTCCTTTAGTCGTGTCGCTGTCGCCTTTAAGCTCTGGGCAGGTTCGTCCCTTAGACGTCCGGTTATCCCTGGCCTTGCTTCGCCGGTACAACCATCTCCACACCAAGCATGGCACAGACACTGGACTACCACAGGATGACGACTTGCAGAACTCCCGAGCTCGAACCCAAAAAATGAACATTTATACACAACTACCGTATTTACAACTTTTGCTGGGCATTTCAATGAAACACCCAACGGTTTCATTGTCCATTATGGGCAATGGCCCGAGCAAGCCTTTTGCTACTTGTTACGTTGGCACTCCAACTCGGTTCTGCTGTAAGGGGCAACCCTTCTCTTAGCAGCCAACTTCCTCCTGGCCCTACTGCGACCAGAGGTCTTGCAAGCTGCTGATGAGTGGGCAATTGCCTTCCACTCTGGTCGACTTTGACCCTCTTCCTTCAACCTTATGAGCCAACTCACGGTGTCATCCTGCAACATTGCTTGTATTAACCCTAACCGGACACAACCCATCAAAGTTCAACAGCAGGTTTGTGTTTAAATCTGTTGGGATAGGTACAGTTCCCCTAAACAGATGGTCTTTTACACTGGGGTTAGCATACCTCCAGAAACTAAGTCAAACAGTGTGTGTGTACAATTTCCCATGTGGGTGTTGGAATTTGCCTGAATGGGTATGGTTCCTAGTAAATTAGGCTGGGGAGTTAGGGTTAAAGCACCTTGTGACAGGGTTGGTTGGGCAGCTACGCCCCTTACCAAGTACTCACTTCCCTGAGGTTTACCCTCGGGTACTTCACCAGTTGTCTCATAATCTTCATCACTGCCGCACTGTTTGCATGGCCGTCTGGACATCCCATCAGCATTTCGAAGCTTCTTTTTGCCTCTGTGCTCTTTGATCGACCCAGAATCACCGCTGCTTGTGTGATGCTTGATCACGTCCATGCGACCGATGTCATGGTCAACCTTGGACAATTCATCCTGGAAGTCTTTCGGACATTCCCGGACATCACCATGGTACTTGGCCTCTACATTGGCTGTACCCCTCTCATATAAATCTTGCAAACACAGGGGCAACTCCTTCCCTGTGTTTGCCTTCATGTTCAATTCATCATGAATTGGACTGGCCTCAATTTGGGAGACCACTCTCGCTGCTGTTCCCTCAAGGCCAACTCTTTTCTCCCTTCCGGGATTGAAGACCCGCAGCGGAACAACATCGGCTTCAGTCTCAACCAGAGATCTGGCCAACACCAAGCCTTTCTTGGCTAAGTCACCAACACCTTCCATCGGTTCCACCATGGCTGGCCCGAGCAAGTCAGGACCCTTCCGAGTAATTTTGCCAGGGACCACAGCTTCATGACCTGGTGGGATTACTGTATTTTTACAAACTACAACGCGACGCAAAAAGGGCTCGCCTGCATCATTTGTGCACTTGATTCGCTCACCATTGAGCCACCTATCCCTTAATTGGAAGTCTATGTTTCCACCTGTTGACACGAGAAAATCCATGCCCAGGATACCACTGTATTTGATCTCAGCAAATACAGCCTTCACTTGGTGCGTGGTCCTACCAACTTGCACCGTAACCAAAGCCATGCCCAGCACAGAAAACTGGCTTCCGTCCACCTGTTTTACCTGGACGTCTACCATCTCCAAGAAGGGTCTTTTTTATTTCAAATGGGATTTGGTAATACACCGCACTACTTATTAAAGTGTCGGTGGACCCAGTGTCAATCCACAAACAACCCATATTGAGGACCACGGCTTGGATCAGGCAGAGTACATGTAAATTACTCATTGCCCATCCTCACGTTTGTTCCTCACTTCTCTACTCTGAGGTTCATGGAGTCTGCGTTTGGACCCTCTCGACCCTTCAGCCTTACCGCGGGTCCTCAGGGGGGCTGACTTACACTTCCGAGCAAAGTGCCCTTTCTCACCACATTTGAAACACTTCAAGGTTCCAGGTTCGGCTTTCCCAGGCTTGTGTGTATTGGGAGATAACACATTGGGAGACAGCCCTTGCCTTGTCCCTGGCCTTTGATCTGGTCGGACAATGACTTGACCAACTTGGCCACTGACTTGACCAACTCGGCCACAGATTTCAATGTATTGGCCTGCTCCTTGAGACTTTGCTCTAAATTAACAAGCCTCCGCTCTGTTCCAAAGTCCAGAGCCCTCGCCAATTTGGCGGGCTACCGGTCCAGCAATCTGTGCTTTTCGACCGTCGCAGAATTCTCAGTCTCCAGGGCAGCCTGGACTGCTTCATCCAAAGTTTTTGGACGAGCTCTATTGATGCCCTCTCTAATTGAGTGGCTGTCAACGGCACCTATGAAGTGGTTCTTTGCAAACTTCTCGCGAGCTTCTTCCTGTATTTCAGGGTATGCTCACACCGTTAACTCATGGATTGCCTGCCCTAACTCGAGCAATCCCTCTTTCTGCTTTTGGCGCCAGTGTCTAAGCTCAAGGAGATAATTCTCACTCTGTCGAGCTGACCCAAACCTACGCTCAAGCAACTTGACCAGCGCACTGTACGTGTGCTTTTGACCCGAGTCGCCCACCAACCGTAGAGCATCCCCTTGCAAGCTTGCAATTAACCACTTCGCAGCTTGCTCTTCGCTCCACTGGTTTACATCAAGGCATGACTCAAAATGGTGGAAGTACTCCTTCCAGAGCACTTTCCCACTATACCGGTCAGGGGTTATGTTTGGCCTACGATTTGGTGGCCCTACACTTCCCTTCAGACCTAAATCACCATGGACACGTGCCTCTCGTTTCAGTGGCCAAGGACCTACTGACGAGCTGTCCACTCTTTCAGACGAACTGCTGTTTTTCGCCTCGACTGGTCGAGTTGTGAAACTTAGCAGATCGCTGTGCATTTGTGTAGGGTTCACTTTTGCCCTATCATGAACGAACGGGTTAGTACTTGGCTTACCCTGTTCCACGCCATCTTGACCGGACAGGAACAGCGTCAAGTCGTCTATGGCTTGACTCTCGCGTTCCAAGGCGATTGGCTTCGACCCTGCTCAGGGTTTTATCCTTGAGCCTGAGTCTTTTAGAGGTGTGCTCATAAAGCTTACCTCCCTCCCACGTTTGTGGGCCCAGTCAGTCACCATCTTTGTGTCTGACTCTTGTCTCCCCATTGCTCCAGAGACATACCCAGAAGTCTCTTTGGGCAACCTGAGCTCAACATCAGTATCTACCTGATGGAACATACGCCAGCTCCCACCTGGCGTGATCGTGTTCCCTCCATTTGGGGAACCACCCGACTGCAACTCCATGGCAGCCTCCAACTTCTTTGCAATGAGATCTTTTTCTCATACTACAGAAATTGAGCTTCCATACCCAGTCGCATAATTGAAAACAACCACAACAATCACACACGAAAACAAACAACAAACAAACGCCAAAACACCACAGTACAATTAGCAATACGAGTCAAAACACCATGTGCAATCAAATAATTTAACAGCGAAATCACTTAATCAATCATAATCATCCCACTTCTGACACCACTTGGGGCAGGGATCTCCAGGGCCCAAACCTAAGTTCGTTGGGACCAAGTTTCAACACCTATTAGAGTGTAGCTGATCTTCCCGAACCCAAGCTTTCCCAAGACTAGAGACACTCAAAGCAACCACAAGGCTTAGGGAGCAGGTCCGTTTTGGAGGAAATATACCATCGATTATGATGATTGTGATTACCCTCTGTTAATTGCACAATAAACTAACAACAAATACACCTGGACAACAGGAATGTCGGCGCCACAAATATAATCGTAATTTATTACACAATAATCAAGAAATATGCAGTACATGATTGAGTCTTAATGAGGTTGTTAATTATCAGGGTCACTTAATTACACTTTGGAGTTAACTGACAGCTCACCTACATACGTGTATAAGCAGCAACACGCACAGCTTGAACAATGCTCCCAATGTAAACAATGCACGGCTAAGTCAACAATGTACACTAATGTAAAAAATGCACACTTATGTAAACCGTGTACATCAATGTAAACAATGTACACGAATGTAAACAATACACACCAATGTAAGTAACACACACCAACATGACCAATGTAAATAACACACGCCAATGTAAGTAGTGTACGCCAATGTAAATAACGCACGCCAATGTAAGTAATGCACGCCAATGTAAGTTATACACGCTGTTCAGCCTTAACCTGATTTATGCTTTACCCATGCAAGCTAGCGTCAGCATCGTACAGTACATTCACTTGTACGGCAGCGCATCAGCATTACACAGCGCAACTTCAGCACAGTCAGGGCCAGCGCCTTTACACAGTGCGCATCAGCATTACCCAAAACACAGAGCGTGAGCAATACACGTCCTTACCGTCCGCTGTCCACGGCACAACTCCTCCTCGCGATCACGTGAATACCCCTCACGTGAACATGAACATGCTGTACAAACACATGCATGTACTAAACCTATGGGCCTTTGGCAACCAATAGCGTACGTGCATTCAGTTACTGAGCGCTTACGCTCCGCCCAGTCACTAACACACTGAAATTAACGTTATTGGGATAGGAATGACGTAGTAAATAAACTACATGTAGCTATAAGTCCCTACACTTTCCGTTACACTTGTGTGTAGCCCTTTAACTGAGATGGTTTGATCAATAATTCATATCTTCCTACACAATGTACAGTACCTCTCTTCTCCATGCTGCATGAGTGCAATACGACCATAGTCTCCAGCAATCTTTCGGAACACTGAAAAGAGCAGCACTATTATCTGAAAATAGAAAATAAAAAATAGAAAATAAACTATCGTTACAAACTTGTAATTTACACCAGATCACCTTCAACAATGTATGAATGGTTTCCCCGAATCGAGTTCAACTCGCCACTAAAGCAGTAAGAAAAAAACCCCTCGGCGAGAGGGTCTAGCACTAAACCAGAAGAATTTATCTCCGAAAATGTCATATGAACGGTTTTCGCTAAAACGCTTCGTGTTTTAGCCAGCGCAGTTGACCCAGAGTTACGTGACACCTTTTAAGTGGTGCGCTTTGGTTGTAAACAAACAATGTACCGTGTGGCTAGACAAAAAGCACCTGTGGACAAAAAGCACCTGTGAATCTTCTCCTACTGCCAGCCGTTCGTGAAAAAAATAAATTCCAAGTCAAATCTCCGCTAGTTTTCTGACCACATGGCCTGAGTTTCTCATCGACTGTTCATCACATGTTCTTAACCAGTTCACGTCGAATGACATAAACGCAAAGGTTTTGCGGTACTCGGATTGGATGACGGATAAACACGCAACAAGCAAGGCCGGAAATATCTGTCTGCGACCTGCTTGCAGCGAGCGAGGCCGGAAATATCAGGGTGCCCTACCCGCAGATAATGGCCTGAACCCGTCTGGCATCGAGGTTCGTGAAAACAATCCCGCACCTGGGTCCGAACAATGTCAAAATAATTCCGGCACAAACTGGTTTAAGAAAGAATTGTTGAGGGCCGATGAGCAATATTTCAGAAAGTGGGAAAATCCGGAAGGGAACCGTCTAACATAGTCTGTACGCTATACGATACAGTGTACCCCGGGTTAGCAAGGCTGCGGTGGCCAGACTGTCATGTACCGGTACCATGTGTCGCTAGGGCTACGATGTCAACCTCGGCGAGACGACAGTGAAAGTCTCAGACCACGTGTAGTGAGTCAAACTGGATGAAGTGAAGGCTCTTACAGCGCGTGGTTTGGGCCAGGGCAGAAGTTCTACATGTACATTGCACATGACTTCAGAAACTGAGATAAACCTCTTTGCGTTGAACTTGCTATACTTAGAATGGTGTCTGAATGCTTGGTATGTTTTAATTTACGACCGGCCTCCCACAGTGAGCGACCGTTTTAAGTTGGTTCATTTTAGCTTAAACGCTGTCGGAACATAGCCATAATGGTGTTATCACATTTGGGGAACTCTTAAAATTCACAATTGATGCATGTCAACAACCCAAAAAAAGGCCTTGGTTCCAAAATAAATCTCACCACAAAGAAGAGGATATTATAGCCGATATTGGAGGGTATCCCTCCATATTCCAGGAATGCTATTGCAGAGCTGTTCTTCCCTGCCAGGACACAGTTTTCCATGGCTAATGACCCCGCTCAGCTCAACCAAGGATGAAAATCTGGAAACAAAATACAGAAAGGAGATTAGAAGCATTGAACCATCTAAATGCAAAATTTTAGAGCAAGATTTGTAAAAAGGTGTTGCATACTGTTACATTGAGCAGTCAACTTACAATGTACATGTACGTACAATGTAAGTCCCATACTTTGTTTAAAGGGTTCATGAAATATAGTTTTCTAAGGAAAACAATTTGTGCAACTTTCTTCTCCTCTCAAAATGTATGAAAACTATTTGAAATCCCTTTTTGCTTCATTTTATTGAAAAGTGCAGTTCTTTATGACATTTAAAATTTGCAATGCTTTTCCGGACAACTGAGGCTCGAGCTGTTGCTGTGATGTCATTTCAGAAAGACATTGTTCAGGTTAGGTGTTTTCTGTTCAAATGAGAACCCAAAAATTTGCTCATTGAAAACATTTGTGAGAAAAGTTTGCTCATTGGCTTTCTGCCATGGATTGACACTACAAAAAATCACCAAACAAAAGAAAATTCACGACAGCAAAATATCGAAAGTTCTGGCAACTTTTGTTGCTGAAATAGCTGTAACATAGAGGTTTCTGCCTGAAATGACATCACACTTTTGCTCATGAATATGGAAATTAACATTATCATAAAAAAACAAAAAAGGCACCAAAATACCCTTGAAAATGGCAAAACAAAAATTGAAAATAAGGTTAAATAGGACACAAAGATGCATTTTCAAGGATTGCAATAAACAAATTACATTGGTAAGATCATATGAAGCTGTCCAAAAAGTAACATTAAACGCTCAGTCTCATGTCCGGCTGGACATCAAAACCTTCACTTTTCAAAGGTTACACCGTAATGGTTTAATTTATTTCTCACACAGTACGTTACAAACATTTATCTTTTTGAGTTATTTTGGGCACGATATATAACAAAACAATTATTGACTGCTGTGATGTGGGATATGTTGATTTTAACCCCCTCGGGGTGCATAGCACCCTCGGCTTTCCCTCTAATGCGCCCCTCGGGTGTTAAAAACGTCACTTGATACTACATGTACAATGATGTAAGCCATTTTTTTCCTCACACAATGCTGCACACCCTCATTAAGCGCATGAGGCAGCTCCTGCAGTGTGATTCATAAGAAACACCTCGCATCCTGTAGTCTGATTTCAAGATGATGATGCACATGTACCGTACATGTACATGTACAATGTATCTCATTGATTTGTCCTTATTTCATATGCGTACACAATGAAGACACACACAGGGAATTTCTCAATGACACTGTACATCACTCTGGACTGTTTTCTCAGTGTGATGTGACTGAGCACCTGACAATTTTAAAGTGGCTTCCTGCTAATTCGTTTGACAATCAATGAGAACAAAATCAATTTGTGTAGCAGCTGCACCTTGGTCTGCCAAACTATAAAACATACTGTTGGCCTACACTGTACATTAGAGATGCATTTATTCCTACACACACCTGCACTTCAGGGCTCATTCGTTTTCACTTAAATTATTTGTTTTGTTTTGATACTGTGTGCACATGTAGACTATTTATCAGAGAATGTCAGAGCAAGGGAAGAAGGAAGGGAGATTTCAACAAACTGGACCATCCTTTTGACAAATCTACATACAGCTACTGTAGGCCCCTATAGTGTATATTTTATATTCCAGGCAAAAAAAAATGTAACGCCGCGTTTTGAAAGGAACCTGACCAACCCTGAAAAAAAGTTTTGTGTACTAGGGTTAGGCCAAAAAAAAAAAGTCTCCGGTTTCTGGTATGGAGCTTGCCCAAAAAGTGGTGCGGCGACGCGGCTTTTTTTTTTTTTTACCTGATTTTTTTTGCTTCAAATGTCGGCTGATGACTGCAAATGGTGCCCGACTAAACTTAGTGCAAATATATGGGAGTCCAGAGAGGCCACATAAAGCTATTCTCGACCATAACCCAATCTAAAAACACGTTAAAATTGTGCAGCAGCAGGATTCCAGTCAAACCAGTGAGTTTGGCGGTTTTGAGACATCATCTTTCATTGAAAAAAAAACTTTTTCAATTTGCCGACGCGCATGGCTACGGCGACGCGCGCGCATACCAGAAACCGGAGACTTTTTTTTTTTTGGCCTTAGTAGTTGATTTTTTTTTTAAAGTTTTATCGTTAGTTTTTTTCTAGTTTGTTCCTTTTCTTTTAAAAGTTCAATTTTCATACGCTTTTTTTTTGTACAAATTATCCCAAATACAGGTCAGGAACATTTGCAAACTTGTATGCAATAAAGCATCTTCTTACAAGTACATATATGCATCAACACCCAATTGGCAAGTTTGATCGGTGCGTGCCCTGTGCATGGTAGTTGACCGCGCACTGCCATTCCTTTGTACACAAATTTTGTTTGTACCATACATGTACATGTACATAGTATACGTGAACACAAAACCCCAACGTGATCTGTGGCCAGCGAACATGACTTGATCGGCTGTCAGTAATGCCTCCTTTTTCACTGCAATTCGTTGGGTGCCCAGCAGAAGGGCATATGAGCGTTCTGACGCAAAAATCATTTTCAAGAAAATTGCATTGAAAGGTTCCATTGTTCCCCCGTGCATATTATGAATCCAATGTTCCCCCACACGCAATATAAATCGCACGAATTTGAAATTTGTCACACGCATGAATCATAAGTTTTTGAACAACTGGTAGTAATTTCTGACCAAAATGTTTAAATTTCATTAAAATAGAGGCAGTTTGCTGCATATGCCCTTTTTGCTAGAACATTTTGGTCAATACGCGCTATTGCGTAAGGGCATATGTATGCACGTATACATGTATGCCCTTCTGCCTGGCACACAACGAATTGTAGGCTGAATCTTCATTGTGGATCGTTATTTTCTTCAAGGACCTGTGTGTACTGGTGGTTATGCCTGACAAGGTGTGGGCGAGTTCCAAGGGGATTTAGTCCTAGTGTGTCACCATGGTCACGAGGACAAAATGGCACATTTTGGAATTCAATTTAAAGAGATGCTAGTCCTTGTTGAAAGTTTCCTCCAGCCCTATACAACAACCCAATGATAAAATATAGAGCTGAGGTAAGGCCAAAAAAAAAAAGTCTCTGGTTTCTGGTATGGAGCTTGCCCAAAAAGTGGTGCGGCGACGCAGGGTTTTTTTTTTTTTACCTGATTTTTTTGCTTCAAATGTCGGCTGATGACTGCAAATGGTGTCCGACTAAACTTAGTGCAAATATATGGGAGTCCAGAGAGGCCACATAAAGCTTATTCTCGACCATAACCCAATCTAAAAATACGTTAAAATTGTGGAGCAGCAGGATTCCAGTCAAACCAGTGACTAGTTTGGTGGTTTTGAGACACCATCTTTCATTGAAAAAAAAACTTTTTCATTTTGCCGACGCGCATTGCTACGGCGACGCGCGCGCGGGTCTAAGAGTCCATTAATAATTTTCAACGTTTTTAAATTTTGATTTTTTTTTTTTTAATTGTGGGTGGGTGGATCGATCAAGGTAAATAAATGAAAATCAAAATTCAGTTTTCATAAAAAAGCAAAGAAAAAGCCAAAAAAAAAAATACTAGACCTTTTGATGTTCTTTTCTGTGTGAAAGGCACTCTCTGATTTGTCACATGATATCCAACTCAAGAAAGAGACAAGGTGATGGACACATCTACATGTACATGTACACCTTTGAAGAGTGTTACCTATCATTCTCCGCACAATATCAGCTATTAAAGAGGTTGTGGAATGCTCGAAAACATTTCCGTCATTCTTCGGGTATATGTAGCCTAAGGTGTGATGAAATAAAAACGACTATTGTTTCTGTCATGAAATGAGTACAAAGGGTACTTTTGAGAGCTTTTTTTTCAGGTCCTGTTTCGACCCGAACGTGCAATTTGTGTAAAAGTCGTCGTTGCGGGCAGCAAACAAAACACAGTAAATCGTGACGTAATAAACAGGACTCGCTTATGCTACTCTGCATCGGGAGTCCTGTTTATTACGTCACGATTTACTGTGTTTTGTTTGCTGCCCGCAACGACAACTTTTACACAAATTGCACGTTCGGGTCAAAACAGGCATGACAGGACTTGAAAAATAGCTCTCAACAGTACCTTTTGTACTTATTTTATGACAGAAACAATAGTTGTTTTTATTTCATCACACCTTAGGCTACATATACCCGAAGAATGACGGAAATGTCTTCGAGCATTCCACAACCTCTTTAACCCTAACTCCCTAAGCCTTTTTGCTAGGATGTACAAATGTAGCCTCAATCCTGTAAAATCCTCCAATTGGCCTCATGGAAATATAGCATAGCCTTAATCCTGCAAATTCTTCCATTAGGCTATTTCTTGAATATGGTCCGTGGACAAGGGCAGATCCAGGGGGGGGGGGGGGGACCAAAGGGGTCCATGGCCCCCCCCCAAAAAAAAAACCGAATCCATTTTTTTTTTTTAGATGGCTTCGCAATAAAGGCAGGCAATGAGTATACCACCATCTTTTCACAAAAACATTGGTTAAAGTGGTCAGAAATTGCCTCAGATCGCACCACAGAGCATAGATAGAAAGGAAAAAATGTTTGATTGCTGTAATTTTTTGGGACGCACTTTTTTGGGACCAACATTCCCCCCCCCCCCCCAAAATAGTGTTCTGGATCCGCCCTTGTCCGTGGAAGGGTGACCACTGCCTGAATCCTGCAAAATCCTGCAGCAGTGACTGTTAATATGTTGAAGCTTGGCCAGTAACATCCTTGAGCAGTACGGAGGATTTCAAGCATAATCCAGGCCTATATTCATATTTATTTGTCAGATCGGAGACACGAGGCTGGTGAGTAAAAACTCAGATTTTCCACCCAAAAAATTGTCCCATGATCCAAATGTCAAATGCGTGAAAATATTTCAGAGTTATGGATCAACAAGCTCAACTTTTTGGGTGGATTTGTGTTTCAAAAAGAGGAATTTCAGACAAAGGTATTTTGTCTATCAAACTCAAAGGGCATTTCCAAAAGCCATAGAGTGCTGACCCCCGAATTTGA